ACTGCAGGTCACGAAAGGTAGCAAATGAATCCATTGTGGGATCAGTACTGCTGGAGTGCATAGTTAAGTACAGAGTAAATCAAATATTTAAACAAATTTAAATATATACGCTGTGTGACGTATATTTGCGCATGCTCAGAGCAGTCAAAGTAACAATGACAAGGCTAACTTTTTTATGTATTTCTGTTTTTTTATTTTTAGAAAATGAAATATTGACGAAAATACAAAGAAATACAAAAAGAAACCCATGCCTCTAAAAAATACAAAAGAATAAAAAAGTAAGAAAAAGGAAATATAGGGCTCGGGATCCACGTTGCATTGTGGGATGTCGCGGTCACGGCTACGCAAACGTAAACATAGCTCTGATACAACGTTGTTGTTGAAAGAAGAGACGTAGAAGTAGAGAGAAATAAGATGTCAAAATCCCGAAAAAGATCTGGAATTTACCGGGACACATTAAATAGAGAAGCCAGGGACCGGTATGTTGACAAAATCAGCATTATTAATAATTTGGATCCATATGAAGTTCCAAACAATGAGTGGAGCACCGATGAGTGAGTGCCTATACTTCAAAACAGTTCAGAAGCTACTAGTCCTTGGAGTCTCATATGCAGTTCATGAATGGATGGGTTCAGGAGCTGCAGATCATAAAGCCAGCAAACAGTGGGAACACAGTATTCCGTACGAAGGTAAGCTGTGATCAGACGGGCTCTGGAACCTGCTAGTTTAGCAACTGCTAACCGCTAATGCAAAAAACCACTCACGCATGTAATGTACTTTTAACTAGCTGCTATGTGTTTCAAAGGTGTAGTTAGTAACGTTAACTGCCAACCCTCCGGGTTTCTTACGTATTTGAGCCTTTTCCCGCTGCCGATTTTATTATTTTCCCGTAAAAGATCCCAACTTTGAAGGAAAGAAACACTGTAGGCTATAAAATAAAACCGTGCATCTTTAACTTACCAGAATGAAAATGCAGGGAACACACTCTCATTGACATCAGGATACTGTGGAAAGTTATGTTCGGTCGTCTTACAGCCGCGATCCAAGCTAGCCGACGACTCTTTATCTCTGACGCTTGGTCTCCATGGTTACGCCTCCAGGCAGGAAAGCGGTGGAAAGTTAACCCATTTTCTATGTTTTTCCCATGGCGATCATGTGTTGAGCTGCTATAGCCCACAATACAGCAACGGTTTACCATGGTTGAAATCAAGTTAAGGTGAAATTAATCAGGCTGAGAAGGAGTACAGTATGCCGTAGTCATAGGCAGTAGTCTGAGCCGCGGTAAAAGGGTCCGTCAATATGGCGGCAACGCAAAGTGCTTACGTCATGACGACCAAGCCCTATAGCCACCAGAACTTATTCTGTTTGCCCACGCACAAATGAGCTTATGGTACGGATGGTGCTACCGGTACGGATCGGGTAGCGACAGCGGCTTCAGCCGACGAAACTAGCGTTAGCGTGGCTATCGAGCAAGTTTTATCGGAATTACAGAGTATTTCTTCACTGAAAGAAGAGCAAAACACTGCTCTGGAGGCTTTTCTCAGAGGAAAAGATGTTTTTGCTCTTCTCCCGACTGGTTTCGGCAAGAGTTTGATCTATCAATTGGCTCCTCTTCGTCGTCGCTCTGTTACGTCATATGCTTCGTTGATCTGATTGGTTTATTTGGCCCGTCTATCACCAACATAGGCCAATCAGCTAACAGTATTTTCGCTCCTTCCCAAAATTACTCCAGATGGATATGCGGAGCAAATCCATCTGGCAGAGTCAGATTACTGGTGGAGGGCTGCATTGTGCTCCAGCTTTCCTCAATTGGTGGTTGCAGGCTGATCAGCGGATCAAACCATTTGTAATGGGAAGGGAAATTTGTTTATCATTTGTTTAAATATTCTTAGTTTGGGTAATTTTGTTAAATAGTTAAATTTAAAAAGTATTTAGTGTCTGGCCAGTATTTATCTGTTTAATTAAGTTTATTAGTTTATTAATCAGTTACCCCACTTGTGTGTCAACAGTGGTCTGATCCGCCACTATTTAAGTTTCCTTCATGTCAGTTTGTGCTTGAGTTCTTTATGTTAAAGCCTGATGACCTCTGTTTTTTGGGCCCAGTTTATCATTTTTTTAAACCTTTTTGGAATTTTTATATTTTTTTTCCGAACATTTCAGTGGTTTTCTAGCTGGTTTGTGCAAATCCCTCACAAAAGGGTTAAGGTCAGGTGAGCCATTGGACCCGACGACGATCCAAAATAGGTTTTCATGCATGTGCCGATCAACCAGCTGGTATTAATCATCCAAACCCTCTGCCTGTTAGAGCCTGATGCGTCAGAGTGCCCGTGTTTCCCACAGATATTGTTTCCCCCTCAAACTGAAAGAGGTGAGCATCCTGATTGGAATAACTACTCTGATTGAGATACCTTGAGAGTCAACAGAGGACAGCCTCAGCATCGACCTACGAAATGTTCTGAAGGACTCAGGATAACCAAACATCTTTAAAACAGTCAGTCCTTCCAACTTTGTGTCCAAACGGTACAAACTTCTCCTGAACTTCACCTCCAGGACTTCCTGTCTGACCCCACCACCACAGTTGTTAAAACAAGAAACTATACATCTTCCACCATCACCTTGAATGCACTGTGAAAAAAAAAACTTTTTATCATTTAAAAAAATAAATGTTAAATCTAGCGACAATAATTTAGGTCAGTTCAGAAAACTAAGATAGTTGCAATCTTTAACTTTATCAAGTGAGTTCCCAGTACTTTTACCTTTAAGTTCTTGGTTATTTCAAAAGGTGAAAGTTCAGCTAACTTGGGAAACCCAGCTGTTGGAGTTGGCATTTAAATTTGATACTAAATAATAACTGGGACCCTAAACTAATGTTGAAGCTGCTGTAATCTTATTGTATTGTGGTTTAAGGACTCATCATTTTGTCTTTGTTTATCTTATTTTGGTACCCACCACATTTCTTTGTGATGCTTACACTGCGTAATAACAAACTTATCTTATCTTTAGTCGTCTCTTTAAAACAAAATGTCATGGCTCATCCATCAGGCTGCTGTCCTGACAAACACCAGGAGAACGGATCATGTAAGCGTCCTAAGATGAGCACACCAGCTCCCTGGACTTAAAGGAAAAGGTCTATTGAACTCGAGGGTTTGCTGTCCTACAGGGATTTCTTGAAGAGGATACAAGGGATAGATAGATAAATGCATAAGTCAGGGGAAGAATGTAAAAAATATTCCAAATCAACAGCCATCACTAAACATGGGTCAACGAGGTGGCAGCATGACAAACTGGACATTTGTAGGCAAACTGTAAAAGACATCCATCCATCCATCCATCCATCCATCCATCCATCCATCCATCCATCCATCCATCCATCCATCCATCCATCGACCATTTCCATTTATCTATCTTCATCTCCATCCATCCATCCATCCATCCATCCATCCATCCATCCATCCATCCATCGACCATTTCCATTTATCTATCTTCATCTCCATCCATCCATCCATCCATCCATCCATCCATCCATCCATCCATCCATCCATCCATCCATCAACCTTCATCTCCATCCATCCACAGATCCAACTGTGATTCCATCCATCCATTAATCGTTCATCCATCCATCCATCCATCCATCCATCCATCCATCCATCCATCCATCCATCCATCCATCCATCCATCCATCCATCCATCCATCCATCCATCCACTCTCACAGCTAAGGGCTATTTAGATACATCAATTAACCCACTAGTCATATTTTATATATTTTATATTCGAATTCTGATTTTTTTTCTCAGAATTCTGACAGCTAACAAACATGTTAGCATCAAGCCATAGCCATGTCTGTTTTAGAGACTAGCTCTCTAGTTTTAATGACCTTCTGCTCCTCCATTAATAAGGGGACCCCTCGGGCACGTAAAAAGTTGCCTAATTCACTGGCCACCTCAAACACCTCACATTTTTGTCAGTGAAGCTGAGTGCTCCCACATCTCTTCCTTCATGGTGCCCATCTACATTAAGATCCAAAATTCTGAGATTAAAGTCAGAATTCTGAGAAAAAAGTCAGAATTCTGAGATGAAATTCAGACTTTTTTCCTATGTTAAACTGAAATAAAATTAAAAAATCAGTTACCCGGTAACTTTTTTTTTTTTCAGTGGCCCTAATCCTCTTCCGTAGATTATGGTTTTAAACTATTATCTTTTATTTTCCAATGTGCACATAGTAGCTATTTAGTTTAGATGAGGTTCGTTAGTTTAGTTAAGATGTTTGACTGAGGTTAGTGATTTTTGCTAATAAATTTCTGTATTCATGCAGAGTTACTGTTTGATTTGAGCTCGAACCGCACTTTCACTTGTTTCTTTAACACACAGCTAGGTAGGCAAGCATTCACAGGCAACATGATGTCAGAAAGTTATTTGATTAAATATTGAATGTACATTTACTGAATAACATTGTTTACATCAGACAGTTTATCTCTCCTCCTTGTCCTGTTTTAAGAAAAAGGTCAGTTTCACGTGCAAAGGGCCCAACTGCAGAATATGTGACGCGGTGGAAACCAACCCACCGTCCCTCTATGTCCTCAGATTTTCATCTTTCCAGTAAATAACAACAAGCTGCTATGTTATAAAACTGAGTTGATGTTCTCGTAAAAGGAAACATGTGCAATAAACCTTTGCTCGCTGACACTAATTCCTCTTTTTTACTTTAATTGTTTAGTTTATGTGATCAAAAGTGAAAAAAACAAAACTGTACATCTGATTTGTGGAGGACACTTAATGATAAGAGAGACAAGGAAGTAAAACGGAGGCATAAAAGCTGTTCTATGACACATTTAGATGGTGATAAGCAATCAGCAGAAAATTAACTCTATAAGTGGTGTGTCGTGTGTTGGGGGAGGTGGGGGGTGGGTGTACTTTGTCCTTTTAACTCCATGAGGTTATCAGACACCTGAGCTCTGTATAAACAGCTTCTCCTGACTTCTTCCTGACTGACTTTCTTGAGCAGAGCAGCTGTGTGAGGTGGTTGATTTTACTGACTACCTAAACCTTGAGTGGGACTCAAGTTTTGGATCTGTAAAAGTTTGAGTCCGTAAGAGTCGATCATGATCAGCCGCAACTTTAAGAATGTGTTGGTGGTCTCCATTGGGTTTCTCTCTCTGTTCACGGCTTATGGAGGCCTGCAGAGTTTACAGGTAGGTCAAAGTGATTCCTTAATGATGCTGAAGAACTAATTATTGCTTAAAGATGCTAAAAATAAGGACTTTTATTAATGTGCATTTGCGCAGGAAGGGATTTGTAAACAGAATAATAATAAAAAAAAACTGATAGTGGAAATTAATAAAGTTCAAGCGTTGTAAAGATGAAGCTGAAGTGTTTTTTTATTTTATTTGAATCATAAAGATAATACTTTATTCTAAGAAAAAAATACAATATTGACTAATTGTTAACTTTAATCCACAATTAACTCCAAAAAATAAATAAGTTTAATCAAAGCTAATCTCGGACCAGACGTGTCAGGAACTTCCATTAAAACACGAGCGATTATCTCCTGTTATATTTAACGAGTAGCCTATTATCGCTCCTCTTAAATTGTTGCTTGCCACTAAGTGATGAAGTTTATTGGCAATAAAAAAACTAAATGGTCTTACGTAGCAAACAAATATCAAGATCATTATAACGCAAATGTAGGTCAAAAAATGTGAATGATTACAAACACATTTATGAAGAAAAGAGTTTCTACTTTCTCTTGAGTGTCTCTTTCTCTTTTCCAGAATCCCACTAAAAATACTAATACTAAAAAGGCTTGCATTCCACTGCACATATTCAATTAAGAATGAAAATAAGAGATTATATATATATATATATATATATATATATATATATATATATATATATATATATATATATGTATATGTATATATATATATATATATATATATTTACATGCTGAATGTAAAAACAGAAGAACTAAAGAAACTAAAAATGTTTTATTAAACTTATTTATAAGATATAAAACAGGAAGCTTGTTGGTTTCTAAACTAAAAAGAACTAAATTTTCACTGTACAGAGATGTAAAACTATAATTAACCCTTTAAAGCCTGATCCAAGAATAAAACAAAACAGAAAATTACCTTTTTTTGGTCTGAAGTCCTTATTTGGCCTTTTAACAAAATATGTAAAAAGAAAAAACAGAAATACTTTTTTGATATTAATAATTACTATGCGATAAGTCAAAATGTTTTTTTGTGTAGTCTTCTGCCCTCTGTTATCAGTTATATCTGATTGTGTACAATAGGATTTTTAGCAAAGTTTTTACCATTAAATTATGCAAAAGGTGTCAGACGCAAAACATTTCAGAAACCGTATATATCCAATATGATACATTTGGCATTACAGAGTTAAAGGACTGGTTATGTCGCTCTGACACATTATCAGATTACCACTTTGTTTCAATGAACTAACTATGAGCAGCAGCGAAGTTACGCTGCTCCGCCATGCAGCATGGCTAAATGGGAGCTATTTAGGTGATAACTTAAAGAGAGATTTTGTGCATTTCTACTGAAAAACATCTTTAAAATAGCTTTTTATTTTATTAAAACATCGTTTGAGGAGCAGAGTTAAACCTCACTAGTTCATCGCTGATGCACCTATAAGCCTGTAGCCTATTTTCCTTTATTGACCTTTGGTCGTGCTGTTCAGGGATGTTACTTCAAGGGCATCCATGTTTAATGGGTCTGACCTAGAAAACAATCAAAGTGTTATATACAACATGGACTTTGACAAGCATCCAGCTCAACTCAAACGCCAATGGTAACTCCACATAAGGTGAAAAAAGTAAAAAAAAAAAAAAAAAAAAAAAGTACAAACACAAGCTAAAAGACCAAGCAGAAAAGTCAGTTCAGTGTTTTGGCCCAATATGGGAGTATAATCAGAAAACTTTATAATCCTCTTCACGGAGTTTATCAAGTATTCATATTTATAAACAGAACTTCAGAAAGCGCGGTCTAAATCCTTATATCCAATTAAACAGTATAGTTTTATCTAAGAAACTATTAATCCACAATGAAACAATATTTTGTTTACATCCCTGATTGCGCCCTCTTCCATTTCTGATTATTTAAATGTTTTCCTCATGCAGAGCAGTCTAAATGCAGAGCAGGGGATGGGTGTTGCATCCCTGAGCGTCATCTACGCCTCCATCATCATCTCCTCCATGTTTCTGCCCCCCATCATGATCAAAAATCTGGGCTGTAAATGGACCATCGTTGCCGGCATGGCCTGTTATGTGTCATACTCATTTGGAAATCTCTACCCTGGATGGTAAGAGTCTAATTAAAAAGATGGACAATTTTTCTTATATTTACAGTTTTGCTTCGAAACCTTCTTCCTCATTATGCACCAGTTTCCACATTCCGTCTGATCTGCTCTATCACAGGTACACTCTTATGCCAACCTCAGTCATCCTGGGTTTGGGCGGTTCTCCTCTGTGGTCGGCTAAATGCACCTACCTGACCATCTCTGGGAATTTGCGAGCTGCTAAGGAGAACAAGAAGGGTTCGGATATAATCAACCACTACTTTGGGATCTTCTTCTTCATCTTCCAGTCATCAGCAGTTTGGGGAAACCTGATGTCGTCGCTCATCTTTGGGCAGGACACCAGTATCTGTAAGCAGGTTATCTATTAGGTTTTCATGTTCAGATCAAAGCATCAGATCAAAGCATCAGTTTGCTCACAGAAGTCTAATGAAAGTAGATCCTCCTCCAGTTGGAATGTTCCACCTTGCAAAGATGGAGCCAAATTGAAAATACCAACTAGAAAAACTAAGTGCACCCCTTTTTGCAGCATTTCCTCTTTCATACAAGAAATTCAACACCAATCTTCTTTTCCACATGGTCTCAGCCCTGAAGAGTTTTGAATTTTTCTTGCAAGTTTCCAAACGTGTTTCAATCAGGTGACGATCTAGAATTTTTCTGGACCATTCCACCATTTTTTGATTTCTTTTTCTAATCCACACTTTAGGAGAATTGCTGCTGTTTTTGGATCATTGTCCCTTTTATGACGAAGTGAATGTGGCAGCAAATCAAGCCCATATCATTACACCTCCACCTCCGTGCTTGACAGCATCTTCTTTTCGTTTTTCCAGCGGCTAGATCATACATGTTCTAACTGCCCTGCCATAAACGCTTTTTAAAATGGTAACGGTGAGGCCTGCTGTCTGAGAAATAGCTCAGAGCTTTCAGAACTATAGCCGCCATTGTTTTCCTTTGCAGAAAGATGAGCTTAAAGAAGTTCATCAACCTCAACCCCTCCCAGAGTAACTGGTTCCACCAGTTGCTTCTCTATGGTCATTGTTTACACCTTTCTACACTAGCGTTGTGTAGCTTTGCTTTAAGATTAGCAACCTTATAAAAGTCAGTTGGTTAATGCTCGTGATCAACAGCATCTGCTTTTTCTGGTCAATATAAGCAATGCCAAAGCTTAATGTGATTTTTTTCTTGTGCTCATATTAAAGAAGCTCTAAGACATGAGAAAAGCCTGGAAAAAATCAAAATCTAGATGAGTAATTATTTCTTAAATTAAGTGCATTTGTTCCTTGATAGAGGAGGTAAAAGTTACATTTTGCCAATGGAACAAGACAATTTACACTTAAAATTAGAAAACACAATTGTGTTGTCTTATTTAAAGTTCATATTACCTAATTATCTTATTTTAAGAGAAAAAAAATACTCATTCCATTGGCAAACTATCTCATTTACCTACTCAAATTAAGGGTAAATATACTTAATTTAAGGAACTTTTTACTTATTTCTAGATTGTTTTTCCGGTGGAGGTCTGTCCCATTTCCTCTAGGTTAGTTATCATAGGTCTAGAGGAAATTGAGAAAAGTGTAAATGCATGATTTTTACCATTTAGATTTATTTTAATGCTTCCTTATCAGTTTATAAATGACTAACTGGTAAATTCTTCCTGGAAGGACATTCCTGTTTTATTTTCCTTCTGTTCTGACCTAGTTTAGACACTCCCTCTCCTAAACCATCCTCAACAACACTGCATTTGTTGTTGATTACTTCCGACTCAAAGGAACCAAACCACCCTTTCTCACATAAATGCCCAGCAGACACACTCAAGAAGTACGGAGGTCTAAACCGCCATCATTCAGTCTGTTTTCTGTGGTTTGGTCCGTCTACAAAAAAAGGACAGGTCCAAACTGCAACCAATCACTAGGGTTGAGCTTCTATCTGTCACGGATCTATAGCGGTCTAAGGTCAGAGAAACGGAAGCTAACATCCCTGCAGATCCCACACATCCTGGATACAAACCATTCAGACTTTTATGCTCAGGTTGGTGCTAGAGAGCAAACAGATAATGACACCAGGCTCATTTGCACCAACAAAACCTTTTCTATTTCATAAATATACAGCATAAATAGATCAGTGATTTTTTTTTTTTAAAGCAAAGTGAACTTTGTTTGGGTGGGAATTAAAAAAAACTTGGGGATTAAAGTTGACTCTGATTTTACTTTAAAAATGTTCTATTCTTAATAAATAAAAAATATTCAAGTGAGGTTTAAACAACAGAATACAAAAAAAAAACTTTGACAGAAGTCCTGCAATACTGAATTGTTATTATATCTTCATAAAAATGTTCAACTTCAAATTGCAAAAAAAATAATATTTTAACAGAGCCAATACTAAACTTCTAAAAAAAAGGAAGAAAAGACAAAAAAAAGCTAAACTTTCTTTGCATTCCCCTCTAAAGTCACATGGAAATATTTCAATTTTCATTATCTACTCTCTGATAAAACCTTAGTTTAGCACATTTTCTAAAAGCAAATGGAAACAACAGAAAAGTGTTTCTCCATTGATATTTTTACTGTATTTCAGCCTCTTCATGTGTTCATTTATTTATCTTTTTTGTCAGCTGACATCCCAGAGGAAATCCTAGAAACCTGCGGAGCAGCTGACTGTGGCCTCACTATTGCTGTCAACAGCACCAGCAAGAGACCAGAACAGAAACTTGTGTGGACGCTTGTTGGGTGCTACATTGGTATTATTTAAGTTTAATTCATGGCATTAGATTAAATAAAAATAACTATTCTTGCCTTACATTTCACCTGGCCATCATCCTTCTATTGAATCGGTCTCTATCTCTTAGGTGTCGGGGTTCTGGCTATGCTTATTGTGGCAATATTTCTGGACAACATTGACAAGCAGCAGGCCAGCGAGTTTCGGGAGAAAAAGGAGCCGCTTTGCAAAACCTTCCTGGCCACATTCAGGCTGCTGAAGGACTGGAGGCTCCTGACGCTCATCCCTCTCACCATGTACAGCGGCTTTGAGCAGAGCTTCCTCTCTGGGGAATACACCAAGGTAACGATACCTCAAAAAGTTTACTCTTTGTGCCTCAGCCATTAAGATTAAGCTGAATGACAAAAAAAAAGAGAATGGGCTAAATCAGGGCTTCCAAAATTGTGGGGGTCACGCGACACCAAGAAGGGGGCCCTGAGAAGGTTTTTACAATCATTGGGATTTGATCCCTGAAGTATACAGAGGGTGAAATTATATCACAAAATGCATAAATGTCAATGTCTCATAAAATAGACAGATTAAAAAAATTCTGTATCTAATATATGATTATTATCTAAAATACTCCATGAAGTTGTAAAAGGCAATTATTCCACTTAAAATATTTTAAGTCAGAATTCTGACAGAAGTGCAGACACGTAATAAACAGTAATGGGTATGGCAAGCCATCGATATCATTAATGTTGCTTTCTAATCCGAAAATAACAGGACAAATTGGCATTCTGTGCCTGTCTAATAAGAAAATAATCTAGTTCAATAATAAAGTCTGATATAACATAAAACTCTCCAGTTTTTCTCGTTGGGTGAAAAATATGTTTTATCTTCAGGAAATTAATTATTCATTTGAAAAATAACAGCATGTGGTTACACATAAAAAGCCTACAGCATAACTGGCTCCATCATGTACTGCTGTGTTTTATCTATCTTTATTACATTTATGGTACAACATGTACCATAACTGGACTTCTGCTTTGGTAGTATTTTCATGTTCAAGTTTATGTAAAGTTTTAATATATTAGAAGTATCGTGTTTATTAACTTAAAGTTCCTCTCATATGACTGTTAAAATGACAGTAAAGGGTGGAAATCTTCGGACTGAGACTACATTTAAATCTCACACCACCACCTCCAACATAAGCATAAATACTCTGCATATTAAAGTAGATATTGGTAGTTAGTCACATTTTCCAGATTCAATTCAGTTTATTTATATAGCGCCAATTCACAACACATGTAATCTCAAGGCACTTTACAGTTCACCAGATCATCCAGTCAAATTGATTCAAAGTTTTCTATTTAAGGAAAACCAGTTGATTGCATCGACTTATTAACCTGGATACAATCCCTCACACTAAGCATGTTTGTAGCGACAGTGGAGAGGAAAAACTCCCTTTGAACAGGAAGAAAACCTCCAGCAGAACCAGGCTCAGTGTGAGCGGCCATCTGCTGAGGCCGACTGGGGTTCAAGGAGACGGAAGCAGAGATACAAAAAGCAACTGTAAATCAACATTTCTACCTGGTTTTAACAGAGTGAGTTGATCGTTAAATAATGGTTAAATGTGACACCGTGTTGCCGTCTGTCTTTGCAGAACTACGTGACGTGTGCTTTGGGGATCCACTATGTTGGTTTTGTGATGATGTGTTTCGGAGCGGCCAATTCCCTCTGCTCCTTTCTGTTTGGGAGGATCGCTCGGTACATCGGAAGAGCTACGCTCTTCTTCTTTGGTAAAACTTCTCTTCAAATTTGTAAAAATTACTTTTTTTATCATCAGTGGTTTTCTAATGTGACACGTCAAAGCCTGTTATTTCATGAAGGCTTTGTTTGCAGCCGCTGCGGCCAACTTGTCCTGCATCATCGCTCTCCTGCTCTGGAGGCCTCACCCTGATCAGCTGCCCGTCTTTTTTGTGTTTCCCGCCCTTTGGGGCATGGCAGACGCCATCTGGCAAACTCAGACTAACGGTAAGGAAAACCCTGAAGCGTCTCTTTGCTTTTGGAAAGCAGGAGCAGGAACCTCCAGAACTACTTTAGTTTTTTTTGTATGTTTTTTAATGCATAGATTTCCATGTGCATAGTATATTTATTTTTTTAAATATCTCACTTATTTGACCCAAATATGCTGATGAAGGTTCTCAGTCATCCAGGTCATAGTCATTCCGTAAAAATTCAAAAAATATCCACTGGACTTGGTTTTGAAAACCAAGTCCAGTGGATATTTTTTGAATTTTTACGGATTGACCCAAATATGTTATTTTACAGACATGTACAGCATTATTATCTTATGGTGTAAATTTGCCCTCAGCATATATTCTTTCATTCCTTTATAGTAGTCTCTGGTAAATCTTAGGGCTGAAACAATGAATCGGATTAATTGTGATTAATCGATTAATTGAAATAATCAACTAATTAGTAAACAATAAAATAATTGGTAACTGGAGTATAGAGACTGTAAAATATGCCTTTAGCTAACAGAGAAACCCACTTAGAGAAGTAATTATATAAAAATTGTAAAAAAATATATATAAACAGGTTGCATTTAAGATAAAAAAAAAAAAAATTCTTCTGTCAGTTTGCTCTATTCAGAACTCAAGTGAAAAAGTTTTAGTTACACCTAGTATAGTTTTGTAAAAAAATCTTCTTTGGCTTTCCGATTATTAATTGATTACTTGACAGATTAATCGATTTTCAAAAAAATTAGTTAGTTGCAGCCATAGTGAACCTAAATATCCCCTTTAAAGAACAATAAAAAATCTTTTTATTTCTATAAATATTTTCCTCAAATTTTTGTTCGTTATTAACCTGCAGTTATTTCAAATTATTAAATTCTGTAATAAAAAATGTTTGCAGAAACAAAATTTAAGGTGAAACGAGTGGCGTTGGAAGCATTTAAAATGTTTTTGCATGTGTGTGTGTGTGTGGGAGGGGGGGTAAAATTGGTGACTTTATTGTTCTACTGAGGTTCTAATTTCATGTTTCTAATGCAAAACCTTTAACTATGATATTAACAATCTTTGCAGAGATAATCTGTTCACACATAGGAATCAGTGCAAGTGGACATAAACTTCCAAAAATGTAATTTATTTAGAGGTCTGTGACAGAGCTTCCTCTGTCCGCCGTCGCCTCACCACCATCACTGATCTGTTACAGCTGATCCAGACTCTGTCCTGGCAGAAGTCCACTCCTGATAAACTCATAACATCACCGGACAGGCTGAGACGAGCCCCCGGCTCTTCTTTTATCTTCTGCTGCCTGGAACAGCTGCTTTAAAAGCTGTTATGAGCAACAAGCTCAGTTTGGGCTCTCACAAGGCTACTTTAATTATGTTATGTCAAACTCGAGGAGTGGTGTCCTAGAGGTCAGGGCATTGCGCTTGGGTCTCAGAGGTTCTAAGTTCAAGCCTTGCTCAAGGGTCTTGCTCAGGGTCCCTGAGCAAGACCCTTAACCCCACACTGCTCCCCGGGCGCTGCACAATGGCAGCCCACTGCTCCCCAAGGGGATGGGTTAAATGCAAGGTTAAATTTCTCCATTGTGAGATCAATAAAGTCAATCAATCAATACAGACAGTGAATTTTCTTGCTTTGTACTTGTGACAGTTTAATGACAATAAAGTTAAATTCTATTCTTTAACTTTTTTTTTTCTAATTAATCATAATCTGACGTTGAAATCGGGAACATTTGTTGGGACGTGCGGTCCAAAACGGACACGGTTGGTGAAGCAATGTTAAAATATTTGTTTCATTGAACTATATGAATTATTTAACATGATCTAGGCATCATTTATGAAAATATGTAAAAAACAAAACAAAAAAAACAAAGGTTTTTAGCTAGAAGTAGGAATACTGAGATGTCAGAGGGACTGATGTTACATTGTCCAGTTTTAATATGGTACAGCTCACACTTGTCAAGATGAAGTTTATGATTACAAAAATGGAAATCTAAATAAGTGGTTTTTTTTCTTAACTTAAGTGCATTTTTTCATGAATTGAGGTGGAAAGTGAGACACATTGCTGTTGGAACAAGACAATTTACTTTGAAAATAAGAAAGAAACTATTGCATTGTCTTTTTTCAAGTGCATCTTATCTAATGATTTTATTCTAAGAATAAAAATACTCAAATCATCTTATTTACCTAGTAAAATAAGGGGAAAATAAATTTAAGAAATCTTTACTTAGTTCTAGATCATTTTTGCAGTATATCCTGAAAATCTCTCAAAAACTTTGAGGATATGTGGAACGGATGTGAGAGGATCTGACACATACAAGAGGACGTTGTCCGCATATAACGAAATTTTAATAATAATAATAATAATTGAACTTTATTGATCTCACACTGGAGAATGTTACCTCTGCATTTAACCCTTCCCTTTGAAGAGCAGTGGGCTGCCATTGTGCGGTGCCTGGGGAGCACTCTGGAGGTTAAGGGTCTTGCTCAGGGAACCAGAGTGGCAGTCTGTGGGAGTGGGGCTCGAACTCAGAACCTCTGGATTCTAAGCTCTATACCCTAATAGGTCCCCACTCCTTGTAAGTTCCTGGTTGTCTCTGAAGATCCGTTTGATATCAGTACATTGTCTAATAATATTAGCTAGGGGCTCTATCACCAAGGCGACAAGCAAAGGGGACAAGGGACATCGCTGTCTAGTCCCATGTTGAAGAGGAAAATAAGGTCTTTGGTTCTGACAGAAGCCAACGGGGAGGTTTATCACAATTTGACCCAGGAAATAAAAGGATCTCTAAACGTTTTTCTGTTAAAGGTGAACTCCATATTTATTTGTATTTGTATTTTTGCTTAATTTTAATTTAACTTAATAATTTCTTTCCCTGTAAGCTGCTGGTAACCCTAATTTCCGGAGGGAGTCTTCTCAAAGGATCAATAAAGTTCTGTCTAAGTCTAAGTCTAGTAGAAATGTGACCCAGAAATATCAGTGCTTAAATGTCCATTAGTGAATTTCTAATTATAACGTCAAAAGGACGTTTTCCGTTATGTAGGATACATGCTCGGTAAGAGGGATTGCTGCTAAAGCAACTTAATCAATTGCTGCTAAGCCAAGAGGAATGAATCCTGCTAGACGACTTAATTCCATCTGTTGTCCATCTGTCACCAATTTGAATAATAAAAAAAAATTGTACAACATTGTTTGAGAAAATGGATCAGTCAGAATGAGATTACATACATTAGAAAATGTATGATTCGATTGAACTGATGCCTCGGGATATGTTGTGAAACTGAATTGAGGAGCTTTGGATCTAGATTCAGAAACTGGATCTTCTATTGAACTGTGACCCTCCCTCTGTTTCAGCTCTTTATGGCGTCCTCTTCCCGAGGGATAAGGAGGCCGCGTTCGCCAACTACCGCATGTGGGAGTCGCTGGGTTTTGTCATCGCCTTCGCCTACAGCACCTTTCTGTGCCTGGAGTACAAGCTATATATAGTGCTGGCTGTTCTGATTGTTAGCATGATAACCTACCCCATAGTGGAGTACAATGAGTACAGGAATCCCACTGAGCCAATTGAACAGATCACCTCTGAGAACCACAAGAAACCTGCAGAAGACGACATCATCATCATCCAAACTGGGATGTAGACATTTTTCCATCCGCTGGAACTGAACCTACATGGTCAGACTCTTTCATCCTGAACTGAAAAACTGGAACAACAGGTGATAAATGCTAAAAATATCTCCAAAGGGGCAGAAAAGAGCAGTAACTATGAAATATGGCCGTTACTTCTTCCGGAACAACAAACCTGAGACTTTTCCTGTAGCTATTTTGTTAAAAAAGTCCCTTTGGAGCCTAGTTGGTCCGTTGGACCATGCACTGCTTAAAATAGATCTGATGTCATAACATAAAAGCACATTAAGTTAAAGACTTATTTTTTAATGTCTCATATAGAATGTTTTTGTTGATAGTTTTATGATTTCAGCAATACTTCTACATATTGCTTCACGTTTATTAGATGAAACCTTCACTAAACTTTTACTGAATGTCTGAGTTTGATGCATAAGCTGTTCCATGCTAATGTCTTATCTAGTTTTAAAATAGAATTTTTATTTCTCTACTTTAATTTGAATTAAATTCATACTGTGTATGGTAATAATCTGCTTAATATAATATTTATAGTATTTTTATGTAAACATTTTTCTGCACATACTGTAGGTGAGTCCATTTGAGCAAATATCAAAGGGCTTTTAAATGGTAAATTATGGAGGACCAACTCTGCCATATTTAAAAATAAATACAGAAATTAATAAATGCTCAATAAATAAATAAGCATACAATTAATATCCCCCCAAAATACAATAAACAAATAAATTTAGGTAGAAATTAAATTATACAGTGAAACATAAATGTATATATCTCTTTAAATTAGCTTTTTTATTTATTCGCCTTTGTGATAATTACTGTCTATTTATTGTCTCTTATAATCTTCAAATTTATTTATATATTACGTATTTTTTTAAGTATTTATTCATGTCCATGTGATAATATACGAGTTCAGACTTTCCTGGGTTGTTCTCAAGAACATACTTGGCGAGGACACGAGTCCGTACTCGCGTTCTAGTGAATAAAGAACCAGCCAGTGACTTCAGGCTCTCCTGCTAACCAATCAATGAGCAGAAGGTGACTCTCTAAGACCCGCCCTTCCTCATTTACATAATGAGGCAGAAATATATACAGAAATGTAAAAACAACAGGCAGAGATAAATAGCGTTGAAGAAATAAAGAAGGTAAAAGATAAAAAGGAAGAATAAAACAGACAAAAATATTATATGCACATAAATACTTTAAAAAAGTAATAAATAAAGTTGAAGCTTATTACGTACAATAAATAAGGTAATTATTACAAAAGCTAATTAAAAGATATTCATATGACCCACTATATATATCAGTGTGTAATTTAATTTCTACCTACATTTGTTAGTTTATTGTATTTTTGGGGGCAATTAATTGTATGATTATCTATTTGAGCATTTATTTATTTATTTTTAAATATGGTAGAATTGGTCCTCCATAGTAAATGGTGTGTAATTATATAGCACTTTTTCAACTCAGGAGACTGCAAAGCACTTTACACGAGTTTCATTCATCCATTCATGCACACACACTAATGGTGGTAAGCTACATTGTAGCCACAGCTGCCCTGGGGCTCGCTGACAGAAGCGGGGCTGCCGTACACTGGTGCCACCGGGCCCTCTGACCATCATCAATACGCAACGCAGGTGAAGTGTCTTGTCCAAGGACACGACGACACTGAAAGCCCCTTTGATTTCAGGGCAAACTCCTACACCCAATTAGCCTGGGTGACATTCCGAACTTAGTCCCGCCCACAACGTTTGAGGTCGGGAAGTTCGGTCTGGCATTGCTCAATAGTAGCGCGAGTATGCTTGCCCAATATCTGGCGGGCCAATCAAATTGTCAGGGCGGGCTTTATACGATGATGGACAGATGATCAACAGTAACGTAATCAACCACAGCACCAAACGGTGATGCAACTCGGCTTGAACGACGAGGTGGATATAGCCAGCGGTCGTTGCCAGCTCTTTTTCGGAAGCCCGGAATCCTGGCTGCTGAACAACAAGTGGAGGGACATGCTAGGCTCCGATGTTTTCAAGCCAACGTTATGGGTATCGTCGTGGACGAAGTTCATCTAACTTACAAATGGTAACAGATCATCTGACTGTCTGATTTAGTAAATAACTCGCAATGTCGTGATATTAATCCCATGTTGTAACAACCAACCAATAAGAGCACTCCGTTGCTCTTATTGGTTGTAGGTCTATCCAATTGAGTGCAGAGGCATTTCTTTTCCTGGTTCGTTCGAAACACGCCCCATAATCACAGCTCTATGGAGCAGTATCAGACTCATATTCTGACTAGAATTGAGTCAGACTACGTCAGGCTAACTTCCGATGCCACTGTCACCCTTTTTACAGAGGTGTCGGGTTCCTTTTTACAGGTAAATACAGGAAAAGGTTTAGATACATTTGTATTAAAAACAAAAATACATAAAGACCCATATAAATACCCAAGAAAAAAAAGATAAGTAGATATGAAATAAATTTAAAAAAATCTGAACTATTTTAGAACAAATCTTTTACAAACAAACAAGCTAAAGTGATTAAACGGCACTTAAGCAGGCATTAGGGTTAAAGGCCTTAACTAAGGACCCACACTGGCAGCTCATTCCCCCCCAGCTGAAATACGAACCCAGGCTTCCTGTTTGCAGGACGGGTGACTTAACACTTGAGCAAGGCAGCCTCAATTCAGGTCCTGGGAAGAGATTTTGATGACGGTCTCTAAAGACCTCAGAGCATTGCTGTTCATCTAACAAGCAATCCTGAAATGTTGCATGTTAGATTTGTCAACAAAAATTTGGGCTTAATAGAGCATTTTAAAATCCATTTTACAATCGATCGACGTGCAGGGTCACCTTTGAGCACATCATTTCACCTTTCACCGCAGTTCTTCCAGCAGTCCACGCTTTCTCTGCTTTTTCTCATCGTCTTCTCCTTCTTTCCCATCGCCCGGCTGGCCACAGGTTTGCCTGCTGTGTCTAAAAGTAGCAGCAGCAGCAACCCAGACTGACAGCAGTTCATTGGCTAAGTCCTGGAAGCTCTGGAGGTCTTTACCCTACAGTGGGTACTGGTTGGAAATGGACGGTTTCCTGCGTGAATCACGATGTATTTCCTGAGGCCAGTTTTTTTTTTTTTTTTTCAAAAAGAACTGCAATTTACCCGGACAACCACCAGGTGGCACTTGGGAGCTCTGCCGTGCTAAAGGTGACGTTTGTGGGCCTGCAGTCAACTGAAAAGTTTATTGAGACCATTTGCATAAACAACCAAATCTTCCTTTTGGTCTTTTGTTTTACAAGTTTTGGTAACTTTTTTTTTCCTCCTTAAACCAGGCTGGTCCGTGGATCCTCCGTCCATCCGATCTTAATCCTAAAAGAAAAAGGAAGAATAAGGAGAAGCGGCGCAAGTGAATTAGACACCGTGGTTGGACAGCATGCAGTAATTTATAAATGTTTTAAATCAGGTTGGGTCCCAATTAGCCAGCAGGTGGGTTCGGATCCGTACCACGGTCCACTAATCCGTGACCTCTGGTTTAGAGCTTCTTGCTGCAAACATTAATAGACCATCATCTGCATACATGGATATTCAAGGAATACATGAGATCAGGTTGTGCATTTCAGATGGTGCTTTTATTGCAATGTGTTGCATTCCCACATTCATAGATGTTATAGATTTGTTAGTCAAAGCATCATTTCCACAAGGTTGGCATCCTAACCTTGGAAATAAAAAGCAAAGGGACCAAATGCACAAGGTGTTTGTGTAGAGAAGTGTGTGTTTGTGTGTAAACTTGAGAGCAGCCACGGACATATGAATGAACAAACCTCCGAGTTTGGACTTCCAGTAGACGAAAAAAAAAAAAAAAAAAAAAAAAAACGAAAAGAAGAAAAAAAAATGAAACCAAGAGTTTAGTTTGTCTTATAGCCTGCAGGGCTCTCACTCCCCCGCTGGGACTGGACCCGGCCTGAGACTGATTGTCTACAACATTCCCAAAGAAAAAGGTAGATTTCTTTATATTCACGTTACACACCTGAACGAGAGAGAGCGGGAGGGTCTGAGGGGTTTTTAAAAGTTCCAGAGAGGAAAAGAAAACACAACATGCATAAAATTCTCCCAGGTGAACACTGTCACTCATATTGTCTTCTAATAGCTGCTCTGATGCCTCTTTTAAAAACAAACTTTACATGAGTTACATGAGTGTTATATACAAAACAGGACAAAAAAAAATGTATATTATATATTTGTCTATGCATTTATATATCTATTTATATTAATCTTTTTACAAAGGGAGAAAGTGGAACCTTGGTCTCTTCTCTTAAAATATCCATAAAATGCATCACCACCCAGAGAAACAACAGTGGCGAATAAAAACCAAACCTTTGCTTTAAGTTTTTCACCCAGTCCCAATAAGGCAGCGCTTATAATACTCGACGACTGAGGCTGTAGTGAGGACAGCTTCAAACACCTGCATTGGGAATGAGCTGGAGGTAAAAGAAAACCTTGAGGGGGAGGGGGGAGTCCTGGTGGCGCAACAACCTCGAAAAATAAAAAGCCGCGAGGACTCCCGACGAAACAGGAGCAAAGACAGAGAAGACAAAGCGACACGAGTGGTGCGTTGTCGTTTACATCAGTGCACAATCGTTTGGACAGAGTAGAGGTAAGGTCTCACACTTTCCACTGACACAAAGAGAGAGAGAGAGAGAGAGAGAGAGAGAGAGAGAGGAAAGCGAAAACGGCTGGGAGCAGGAATGTTCAGAGTTCAAGCCAGAGAGGAGTTTTAAGAGTTCCTCTGGAAAAACAGACAACAGCGCAGAAAGGAGAGAGAGGATGTCACCTGAAGAAGAACAGCATAGTTATAACAATAAAACGACAGAGAAAGGAGCTGCTGCGTACGATTTTTAGCTTATTTTTTTTTATATTTCATGATGGCTCCAGTTCTCCACGAAGAACCTGAATTTTTAGGGAACGTGCAACGGCTCTCAAAAGTCTACAAAACTGTGAAAATGCTTCTTTTTTTTTTTTTTGTAATGTAACAAGAAAAATAAACAACATCACGATAAACCTCGTTCTGCTCTAAAATAACAAATATCCTGTTTGATACAAAATAAAAAAAATATTTCAGTTATCCTGTGCTAACAATTATCTATTACATTAAATCTGACTAAATGAAAAAAAAAAAAACCTGAGCTGGAGCTAAACTTGGGCTTTACTTTAAAAAAACTATAAGTAAAATCTAATTAAATAGAGGTATAAATCAATAATTAAAAAATTCTAAAGCATTTTAAAAGTCTGCCAGGAGGGACTAAAGACTAACAATTACGGATTTAGTGATTGGTTAAAACTTTAAGCTGAACTTTAAGCCATATCTTCAAAAAGAACAACCTGCCCAACAGTGAAACAAAGTGGTGGCAGTATCATGGTATGTGGTCACTTTTCTTCAAAGTGAAATGAGATTGTTTTTCATAAACAGTTTTAGAGAAAACTTTCAGATGCTCTAGATAAAGACGTAAACTTAATTTCCGCACCAAAGTGGGTCGAAGTTTTAATTAAAAACCAAACAAAGCGAGGATAGAAATAAAATGTCTTAACCTGAGTCTAGAACCAAGGCTGGAAAGCTGTGGAGATGTCCTCAGGTTCTGGAGAACTTCCCAAGATAGAGGATCTAAAAAACACAGATCTAATAGACACTGAAATAAATCAAAAGGTCTTCTTTAAATGTATTTTCCAGACTAAAGAGCGCACCTCTTTAGTGCATGCTAGCATGTTCTGGTGTTAAATGAAAATTAACCCCTTATTCTTTCATTTCCGACTTTGACTTCCCCGTCTGGCGGTTAGGAAACATCAACAGAGACGCTGCATTTTTTAAAGAGTGGGAAACAAGTTCTGGCTTATAGTCTGGAAAATAGTCGTTGAAGGGTGCAGAAACTAAATAATACAGATTTTTATCATTTATTTATATTCCTCACAGCATATGTTTTGTTTTTTATTTGTGGATGAATGTAAAACGAACTTTTTTTAAAGAATTGATGGTTGTATAACTGTTTTTAAATGACGTGGCATTTTAACCGAGCTTCATACACTTTTGGGCGCCGACTGCTCAACAAATGCTGATCCGTTTCATGGCCTTTTTCACCCAGAGCGGATCCGGATACATAAAGTGCAGAATTAGATTGTATTTGCAAATTCCTGGGATAATCTGATTAATCTACATGTGCAGAAAGAAAAAGAAAAAAGGTATTTTCTAGAGTAAAAATGTGTTTTTGTTTTTCCTTCCTTATTTAAAAAAACAACCCCTGGATAACAAGGTCATCGTTAAACAGCATATATGCATTTATTCGTATATTTATATATATTATATACACACACGAGGCACCTTAAGTTTGGTATAAAGTATTCGGCGGGGGGGGTGAGACTGAAAGCTGATAGGTCAGCAAGCATGGGATTTTTTTTTTCCACCTTTTAATGAATGGCTTAGTGTTGTTCCAGTGTTACTTCTACTTTACAAATGAGGAAATGTTTAAGTAAGGTGCATAGCTAATGGTTGCAATGTTTATTTCCTTTTTTTTTTTTTTCCTGTAAACACGTGATAGCACTTCGGGATTAAAAAACACGGCATCGGCAGAGTCGGAACTGAGCAAACTTTGGGACATCGCAGGTTCTGAATGCTGATAGGCCACTCTGATGATCTGATGAGATGGATTTAAGATTTAAGACAGAAAAATGAAAATAAAGGAGCATGCATAGAGACGAAGGAAACGAAATAGAGCCGCTACATTATGTGTTGTCCAGTGATGACGAGGTTTGCATATGAAATCCGTTAAACACGTTGAAGCTTTGGTCTTTTTTTTTTCTTTTTTACTATTGAGGGATGAATTAAAATGTTAAAAATAAAAACCAGACAGATCAGTCATAAATTCAACAATGCTTCTCAATGCTAAAAAACCAAGGCTCCACTCTCCCAGCTCTGCTGAACCATTTGCGTCAACAGAGGAAAATTAAATAATATGGCCTTTTTTTTTTTCTTCTTCTTTTAAATTAACCCGTACAAAAAGCCAGTCCACACCGCTTCTCTCTCTCTCTATCTCTTTCTCTCAGTAAAATCACATTCAGCAGTCGCTTAAAAAAACAAAACAAAAAACAACAACCAATCTCTGGCATAGTTTATCCGAATAAAACACCCACAGGTAACTGTGCAGGGTCTGAAAGAGTCCGAAGAGGAACTGAACAGGACATCGTCGTCCGTTTCCATCTCAGAGAGAACACCAGATATACAGTATTACACACTCACACTTCATGTACAAACATACACCATCTTCAAAACCAAAGTAAAAAGGTAGAAAAATAAAAACATGACAAAGGCGAGTAGTTATTTACCACAAACTCGGAGCTAGTTTTTTTTGTGTTTTTTTTTACTCTGTCGATTCTGAACAAATATGCATTCACATTTCTGTTATTTACATTAACATGAGACAAACATTACAAAACCTGGTACCTGCGCGCTGTAGCGAGGAAGGAGGGACTGCTTTTTGCACTGAAAGGCTTTTGCATAAAGAAACATTTTTGCCTTTTTTCAGCTTCTCGGGTGTATTTGGCATTTTGTTGTTGTTGATGTCTTTGCTGCAGGGTGAAATTCTCCATCTATAATCCGGGTTGGTAGAGGAGGCCTTTCGCATGCAGGAAAGATGTAAAGAGGAAGAGGAGCTATGCTGTGTGTGTGTAGAAATATCTCAGCAATAAAAAAATAAATAAATCTCCAACTAACTGATCTGCTGCACAATTCAGGAGCTACAAATAGGTTTAGGAACTGCAAAAAGTGATGTTTTAAAGATGGCCCATTTGTTGCATGTTAATTGATTTTAGTTGCAAACAGCTTTGGGATGATTTGGCCTCATCTGCAAGTTTAATCCACACCTGAGGACACCAGCCTTTTGCATCATTTCATCAGAGATGTATTTGTAAATAACGGCTTACATAAATGAATATGTTTTTATGCTGGTTTATTTGCATGGTGGTGCGCTTTGTGTAGCTTTTGGCTTTTCTTTCAGGACAAACTGAGAGGTTTTCATAAACTGCTAAATAAAAAAATACAGAATATGCTTCATTATTCATGGAGCCAATTTATCTCAAACGTGGGTCTAATGTTTTTTTGTTCTCTAGATAAAGATCGGTGAAATTTTCAGATAATTTTCTTTTTTTTTGTGTAGCTTTTATTGTCATTAAACTGTCACAAGTACAGAGAAACTAGATTCACTCTCTGCATTTAACCCATCCCCTTGGGGAAGCAGTGGGCTGCCATTTTGCGGCGCCCGGGGAGCAGTGTAAGGTTTAGGGTCTTTCCTTCTGATCTTGCAGTTTCTGAAGAGATATTTCTTATCTATGCAGCAGACTTCCTGATGGGAGAAAAAAACATATTTTTTAAAAGTATTTTGTAAACAGAAGATTTTATTTGTACCTGTGTACAGAGAATCCAGAGATTCTTAGAGGTTGTGTTTTGCATTGCCAAGTTTTTGTTTTTATAGAAGTTAACAGGAGGAATGAGGTAAAAAAAAGAACAAGTCAAAGAAAAACAGTGCCCCCTGCTGTTCAGGAGCATAAACCTAGATCTGCTTAAACCAACAAGTTATTTTGGATTTTTATGTTACCAAAATCATTATCACCCCTACTGGTGAAACGGTGTTACTACGGCATTTCTGTGCGATATAGCAGCTGATTAAGATGCTGATTTTCATTTAAAAAAACTTGAATCAGATGAATCGGCCTTGTTTTAAAACCATGCAGTACCATGGTAACTCTAAAGCGCCTCATTCTGGCCTACTGGAGTTATTACACTTTCGGTTGTTTTGCATATATTTTTTTCTTTGAGCGGATGAAAAATATTTAAAATCTATGCAGAAGCTGTAGAACATAGTGACCAAAATAGAACCTGACTCACTGAGCTCACATCCACAGCAGAGCTGAGCACAAAGTGGTTCCTACATCACACAGCATCGCTGGAGGAGTTAGCAGGTTAAATGCCCACTTGACCTGTGAACGCTCTGTGACTTATTTGTGTTTTATACCAAATTAGTATCAGACATGAGATGGAACTGGATTAAAAGTTCTAATTTTACTGAGCGGATAAAAAAAGAAAGGTGAATTTCTGAATGTGGGGTCTGCATTGACTGTGAAACCTCTCACCGCCAATCCATCAGCACAGAAAGGCAGAGAAATAAATAATAATGCATGAAAACTGTTCATTTTCCACAGGATCTCTGGATGCTTCCTGATTAAATTCAATCCTGATAGAAAAGGAAACCTTTGGGTTTGGTTCTGTCGTCTGTTTTCAAATAAATCAGAACAAAAAAATCTGGATATTTCTTTTTCCGCAACAATTTTATCATAAAGCATTAAGAGGCGACGTCTCAGCAGGGAGTTTATAGATTTGTGCATAACAAAAGTTTTTTTTTTTCTTATTTTAAATCTGTATTGGTTATGGAGAGACAGTGTAGGACCGATCAACAGTAGTTACAGAAAACTGTACATGTGAGCAGCCAGAGGAGTGATGTGCTCATAGGCGGATGGAGATGAATTCCTGAGTAGATCAACAGTTTTAAAAGGAGGATATTATCTTTTTTTTTTTTTTTCCAAAGCTTGATTCAAATTCCAGAAAACTTTAAATCATTCATCAATCACATCTTTGTTAGAAGTTCTAACGCTAAAGCCTCTATTTAAATTTCATTATATATGGGAACAATAATGGAAAGCGCATCGTTGGCTGCAGCGACAAGCGGCAAACAATGCGACTTGAGCTATAATTATCATTTTTATACAACTGTTACAGACAAATGTGCTGTTTTTGTACACAAAAATAGGAGAAAGCAAAAAAAACAAAAAAAAAAACATAACGGCTAACTAGCTCCCTGAAATAAAAAAAAAGAAAGAAAAGAAATAAAACTATGTTTGTAAAAAGGGAGCCATTTCCAACATTTTTTACTTTTTTTTTCTTTTTTTTAAGTCAAATTGTGTTTAAAATTTCACATTTTTAGAAGCTGGAATAACTTCTTCCTCCACTGCAACATGAAGCTGTGTCACAATATGCCAGAAAAAAAAGATAATCTCAAAAATGAGCAGACATTATTAGAACTAATTAAAAACTAAGAAAAACAAACCAAAAATAAATGAATCCAATCACATTATACAGAGTTTTGCCTCTTCTGAGTATTCAATTAATGACACTTTTTTTGTTTTGTTTTTTGTCCAAAAGGAAAGCAGTTACAAGAGAACAGGTTAGCTCACCTCCAAAGTCTTTGTCCTTCTGTAATGTACAAATACTACCCGCCTGCATGGTGCACGTGGCAAACAACACTGATAGGCTGAGAGAAACCGTGAAGACACAAAGAGAAAGAGAGGAGCAGAGGAGGAACCCTGCCGGGCCTCCCCGTATTCACATCTGCTGAGGTGAGGCTAAAATGTGATGGACAAGACAGTTAAATAACCATAACAGTCTGTTTTTATACTCTGATAGAAATAAAAATAAAAGACATAAAAGGTTCAAAACTGAGCAGCATCCCCTCTGACTCCCGTCCTTCCATCCATTCATCCAATCCGTACGCCCTGGTTGATGTCAAAGCTTGTTCTGGAGGTCATGATGAAGATGATGACGACGGAGAGAGCAGAAGATTTTATAAACAATCCAACCCAAAACATAAAAATAGAATAGAAAAATACACAGGAGTAGAAGAAAAAAAATAATAATAATAAAAGAGGAAGAAGAAGAAGAAGCAGAGCTTGGGACAAACTCACACTTCCACCAGGCACTGCAGCAGATAGAGAGGAACAGTCCCAGAACCAGCTGATACTGAGCTTCTATCTCACAATGCCGCTGAGGTCTGAAACCTTAACATTCCCACATCGCTAAGAGACAGAGATAGATAGATGGTAGAAAGAACGACAAACGCAAAGGAAATCAAATAGCCAGAGGTGGCTGCTGATGTGCGGGACACCCCCCAACGCCGCCGACCCGTCATCCAAGCAGGAAAAAGAAGTGAAAGAGAGAGAAAGGTCGGCCCTGATTCGACAGTGACGGAAAAAAATAATTGGCAAATCTACAATGACGTCGCATTTTTTTCCTCCTGGGTCAGGAAGCAGGTCACCGAGAAATGAGCAGCAAGACAACACTGCCTTCATTAGGCTGAGGCAGACAGACAGGTTGTCAGACAGATTAGACAGGCAGGTTTAAATAACACCGCTGCTCCTACTGACGCTCTTTAAGTCCTGGACTGGTAAAGTTACCAGAACTGAACCCCCACCCACCCCCCCACAGACAGCCGCACCTCCACACCTCCTTACGCTGCGAGCGGCCTGTCCTTCTATCCGTTCGTCCGAAAGTGAGACAGAGACAGCGATAGGTCTACCCTCCTAGGAAGAGGAGGAGGCGATGAAGACGTGAGAGGGAGCGAAGGAGCTGACGGGATGGGAGGGGGAGGGTGTCACTCAGTGAGGAGCTGCTGGAGGAGGCTCTTCTGCTGGGCCTGGCTGCTCTGCGAGCCCTGCGGCCCGGGGCCCTTCTGGGGGCCCGCAGCCCCGATGGAGCCCTGGTTCAGGTAGGAGTCGCTGCCGACAAGGTTCACAGTGCACTGGACGTCCGCGAACACCTGAACCTGCTGCACCTGCAGAGACAGAGGAATAAACCGGACTGAGTTCTGTAAAAACGGCCCCTACTGAAGGTCACCATCAAAATATTTAACTTTTAAATGTTTAGATGACTGATAAATATAAACCTCTATGACTTTTATTATTATTAATTAATGAACCAAAGTAAAGATTGTAACACAAGGAGAAATTCAAATTCCTTGTTTAAATCTGAAAAGTGTGGCATTGAGCTTTATGTATTCCACCTGAGTTAAAGCTAGAACCATGTTTCTCTGTGATTCAGTGTTTCTGGTGGAGCAACCATGGCTATCAAGCTGTAATGCTACATTCACACCTAAAGCAGCAAAGACAGCAGGAGCAGCTAGTTTACATGCAAAGTTAATGGTTGACGTGCATCAAGGTGCAGCAAAACGTCCTGCACCGCGTTTAGAGGAGCAAGAGCGGCGCATCTGAGCAGCTGAAGCAGCGCGTCGTGAGCGTTTGAGCATCTGACGCTGGAACACGCTGCAAATGCAGCAGCTGTTGGACGCACCACATCAACCAATCAGAGAAGCTGATCTGAGAGCTGGCAGGGAGAGAGACACATCGCTGATGATACAGCTCACTATGATCACTCATCTGAAACAGTTTATTAACTCCTAAATTAACTTAAAATGCTGAAATCTGCCAGCAAAACGTTCACTTTTATAATCCTGACGCCTGCAGTTTGGATTACGTACATGGAAAAAGGCCTTCCAGCCGCCGTGGCAAACCGCGAAGAGACGACCGCGCCATAGGCTTCTGTTGAATAGGCTTCCTAGTGACAGTGCACCACCGGTGCAAATAATATTTGAAGGCAGGATGGTAATCTGGATGAACTGACTGCACAGATGGAGTTTTCAGGTGGACTTTCTCACTGAATAACATATTAAAACTACTTCTTACCCACTGATCATAGCATATATAGCCGCCATTGGCAAAGAGATTATAGGGTAGCTCCGCCCAACATGCATCAGACCCACTTTTTCACCGTGCATCTGGAGCAGCAAAGATGCTTCAGCCGCGCGTCAGAACTAAACTTGTACAAGCATCAAAAATGAAGCAGCACGCATGTTTTTGCTGCTCTTGCTACTTGCGGTGTGAACGTAGCATAATTGCTACCAGGTAGGAACACAGACAGACACTAGATGGCGCTAGAGCGCCTGCCCTTATTCCTCTGAACAAAAAAAGTGTAATATTTTTATTTATTAATTTTTTTCACAGCATAGTGTTTTGCAGAAACACTGCCATGCCTGCTGCGTTATTTAGTCCGAATGTCCGCTCTAACCCCTGAATCCCTTAATCACTATATAGAACGGGGACTATATAGTGATCTCAGTTAACTTATCGTTCAGACAGATGATCACTGCTTTTCACTCTCCGTTGGTCACTTGACTCTGCCTTCCCACGCGGTGCCGGCGCCATCTTTGTTATTATGCTACGTTGACACCGGACGCAGCAGACGCAGCAAAATCGCGTCTGCTGCTTCATTTTTGCTGCTTGTACCAGTTTCTGATGCACGGCTGAAGCAGCTTTGCTGCTCTAGCTGTGCGGTGCAAAAGTGTGTCTGACGCGCGCCACTCTATCCTTTCTCTGCCTTGCAGCTGTATTTGCTGTGATCAGTGGGAATAAAATAGTTTTAATATGTTTTTAAGTGAGAAAATCCACCTGATAAATTAATCAGTGCAGTCAGTTCATCCAGATTACCATCCTGCCTTCCAATATTATTTCGGTCGGAGCCGCTCAGACCCCCCCATTCCAGCAGTGCGCCGACAGTAGGAATCCTATTCAACAGCAGCCTCTGGCCGGATCGCCTCCTCGCGGTTCACCGCGGCAGCTGGTAGGTGTTTTTCATCTAAATAATCTAAACTGCAGGCACCAGGATAGTAAACGCGAACATATTCTGCCGGCAGATTTCTTTATTTTAAGTTAATTTATGCGTCAATAAACCGTTTCAGAGGAGTGATCAGAGCGCTCTGATCATCAACGCTGTGTCTTTCTCTCTGCAAGCTCCCATATCAGCTTCTCTGATTGGTTGATGCGGCGCGTCGAGCAGCAAAAGTTCAATTTTTCCATCTCGAGTAGCAGTGCGTTTGCTGCATGTCACGCGCGTCAGATGCTTAAACGCTCCCGACGCGCTGCTTCAGCTGCTCAAAACGCGCTGCGGGACCTTTTGCTGCGCCTTGACGCGCATCAACCATTGACTTTGCATGTAAACTAGCTGCTTCTGCTGCACCTGCTGCGTCCGGTGTGAATGCAGCATTAGGCGCCGCTGTCGAGTAGCAACAGCCTATGGTAACAGCAGGCCACTGTGACAGCAAATCCAATGATGCTTTGCAAGAAGAGCTCTCCTCAAAAAGCATTCCAGGATATATCGGCTCATCTAGTGATCATGGATGATCACTACTTCTCAAGGTGCATCATGGGGAATTTCGAGTCCACTACTTTTTCATCAACTAGACGTTCGGCACTATATAGTGCCGTATATAGTGATTAGTAAGGCTTTCAGACACAGCCTTGGTTTTAATGATGTCATTTGTTCACCAACATTCTCCAACAAAAAATGTGGAAGAGGATTGGGGCCATATTTGCAGAAAATAACGACTCTTTTTTTCTCAATTAAATAAACAAAAGCAGCTTTAATTATCCCCTATGCAGAACAGCTGGATATATTTATACACCATCTATTAATCATGTCATTAATAGATGGATCTTATGCTACATTCAAGTGTACTGATGCATCTGGTGCTCCTGTGTTCGATGGCAGAGAGCGGCTTTGCTATACTTGCTGTTATAAGTGGGTAAAAAGTAGTTTTAATATATTTTTAAGTGAGAAAGTTCACCTGAAAACTTCATCTGAGCCGTCATTTCATCAAGATTACGATCCTGCCTTCAAATATTATTTTTCTGTTGGAGCTCTGTCCCTGGAAATCCTGTTCAACGGCGGTTTTCCGCTAATGTTCGCGGCGGTTGGAAGGCGTTCAGCTGCCGGACCTTTTTTTTGTGTGTCAACCATTGACTTTGCATGTAAACTAGCTGCTTCTGTTGCCTCTGAGCAGTCTGAATGTAGCATCAGTTTAACCTTGAATTTCAGGCTGAGCTTCATTGGTTTATCGGTTTTACAAACCTGCTGGTCACTGCACACTGAACTGACGTTGCTGAGGTTACTGTTGCTCATTCCAACCGCCTGACCCATGGAAGGTAAAGAGCTGACGCTGCTCGTGCCTCCAGCCATAGAGACGGTGATGCTCATGTTGTTATACACCCCCTGCTGGCCGAACGCCTGCGCTGCTCCCTGTCCTGACTGGCTGAACAGGCTGTAGGACAGAGGGAGAATTCAGATCCAGTCTGTAAGACATGCAATAAATTAAGAAAAACAAAAAATACTTAAACCAGGAGAGCATTTACCTGCCCAGGCCTGTCTGCTGCCAGCTCTTCATGTCTGGAGACTGATAGCCAGAAGGCGGTGCCTGCTGAAGCAGAGGACTCTGGGAAGTGGAGTTCTGAGGTGATAATAATGGGCTTGTAGGGCTCATCTCAGCAGGAAAGGGTGGATCCTGTTGGACCACAGCTGTGACAAAAAAACACTTTGATAACAATCCGGCTTTGTATGAAGTCTATAAAAAGTTTATTTTTGCATAAACTTTATCCAACAACTAAATTTCTAAAACTATATTTTAATTTTCCTCAGCATCAGCGAATAGAACCAATGTTTTCATACATTTTTCCTCCCAAAAATACTATAATTTTCCACACATGCATCAAGGTCTGAGTCTTTCTTTGCTTCGTTTAGAAAGAGCTAAACTCTGAAATTTAGACGCATATTTTAAAGAAGGTAGGTGATAAATATGGAGCGTGGAGAAACGCGAACAAGGCGAGAGGCGGGGGGATTAAATGCAAAAAAAGAATGTTGGTTAATGGATAAAGGATAGAGTTCAGATAGATGGGAGACAGTAGATACACTAGACTGTGGATAAAACCTCAAACCTTAAAGGTATAGTGGAGAATGCTACTGAGAGGGAACGCCTATTAAACGCATCACGTGTACAAGCTTACTTTCCAAAAGAAGATTTATTGTTTCTCTCTTCTGAGGCCTTTCTCTTCTTCTCATACACTTCATAAACACTTTTCTCTTACGACCCTCTACCATTTTCATAGAACCGCGGCGAGAAAGGTAAGCTTCAATAACTGTATGAAACCACAGCTCACCGCACATACACGCCTGAAAGCACACGTAAACATATCACCAGAGTGATTGACAATAAGAGTGACCACTTATTTTGATGATTCACCCATAAAAAGAACATCTTCCACTATACCTTTAATTTCTTACATGAATCCATTTTTTTAAACTCACCAGACCCTCCAAACTGCTGAAAGAGTCCCTGCTGCACGGAGGTGTTCACGGTGCTGTCAAACTGACCCTGTAAGCCACCCATCAGCGTCTGGTTGCCCAGGGGCACTCTGACAGACAGCTTGGAGTCCACGTTGCTGAAGTGACTCGGTGAGGTAGGGGTGTTCCCCGCCATCGGGTTGTACCCCGGCGGAAAGCTGAACTGCTGCTGAGACGTCGTGGGAGGGACTTTGGGTGCCCTAGGGGTGCCAACGCCGACGGTGGGCACTCCCGCCACGTTCTGTCTCATGAGCCTGACCTTGTGCTGGAGGAGCTGCTGCTGCTGACGATGGTGGATGCTGTAGAGTTCCCTCTGACGCTGCGCCAGCATCTGAGCGTTCAGCAGAGGCTGCTGGGAGGCAGGAGAAGATACTCAGACACCCGAAAATACAAACCAAAAATTAAGCAAATGGAGATCTGTTGGCTTATTGAGATTGATTGAAATCTAAAATTATCCAAAGGGATTTACAAGACAATTTATAAACGTTTTAATCACAAATCCAGCTCTTCCCAAGCTAAATGAAGTTCATTTCCCAAAGGGCTTTGGTAGACAAGCAGGCCCACAGCATCACAGATCATTCACTGTAGCTAACAGTGGGTTTGAGGTGCAATATCATACGCTCTTCTTTTATTTTACTAATGAGTGTTTGCCAAAGACACTAAATATCGGTTTTATCTTGAAAAAAACAAAACAAGTCAGTATTTTGAGGAAAAGAAAGCGACTGCTTCTCTCATTTCGCCAAAAAATACTGCTTTACATGTAGATAACTTGCTTCTGTTAATCAGTCATGGTTTCAAAACAGAGCTGCTCAGTGGGGCAGTGGGTAGTACAGCTGCTTTGCAGCAAGAAGGTTCCGGGTTCGATTTCCTTTCTGCATAGAGTTTGCATGTTCTCCCTGAGCATGTGTGGGCTCTCTCCGGGTATTCCTGCTTCCTCCCACAGTAAAAAAACATGACTGTTAAGTTAATTGGCTTATCTAAATTCCCCGAAAAGGCTGGTTGTGTCGCAGTGAGCTTGGTCGCAGGTATGATGCAGTCATTTTTGATTTATGCTCAATATTGAAGCATGGTCTGCACTATGTTTATTCCACGCCACAATGCAAAAGGGGAAAAATCACGAACTGGCTGTGGGTCTAGATACGGCCGAGTCGGTGAGGAAGTGGGGGCAAATTTATCCGACAACAGAGGGACATGAGGGCGAAAAAGAGCGGGGATCCAGGTGGAGAAAGGGTCCCAGCGTTCTCGCACACCTCGCTGTTCTAGCTGGTCCAACTTTACGAGTCGTTTTCCGCAATCGTGGTCATAAGTAGCAAACAGGTAAGTAGCAAACAGGATGCCTAGTGTAGAGCGGATGCAGATTTGACCAATCAGAGGCCTCCTGTCTGCAGTCACCTACAATTTGGAAGAGGTGCAGCAGAGTGTCTGCAGAGGGCGGGGACGTCTCAAACAGACACACACTCAGACGACCTAGATTCGAACTATAAATCAGCCTTTAGGTGTGTGTGTGTGCGTGCATGAATGGTTGTTTGTCCTGTTTGTCTCTGTGTTGCCCTGCGATGGATTGGCGACCTGTCCAGGGTGGACCCCGCCTCTTATCCCTAGACAGCTGGATTGGTCACGGCCATGTTGGATTTACTCCCCGGGAAACAAGGAGTCACAGATGACTAATCGGAAATATCTTTATCACCTTCATCAACTTAAAAGGATAAATTCGCCCTAAATATAAATTTACTCAGATTAACAGATTAGAAATGTATCTAGTTTTGTTCAAAAAGAAGTGAACTTTTATTAGCATCTATGCATATTAACAGCACGGTAATTAAAGACGGTGTGTTAAATGTAAGAGTTGGCGCTCTGACTGACCTGTGAGGGTATCTGGGGTTGTTGGAGCCCCTGTCGCACCCCCATGTTAACCTGCTGGGGGCCTCCTGGGAATGAATTCAAGGCTGCTAGTCGATTCTGAAGTAAAAAGAAAAAAGGAAATGAGTAAACATGCAGGTGAAATACCAAAACAGAAAAAAAGATGGGATTAGGAGTGCTACAGGAAGTGCAGTGGGATGATATCAGCTCTAAAAGCTTCTAAATCAATATAAGGAAAAGAGAGAAGACTCTCATCATAATGAAGTATGATTCAGATACATGCAAAGGGCAGAAAATCAATATCTCCTAAAGACATGCAAGTGTTTCTGTCTCACTCGTAATGGATGACATCCTTTTGTTAACATCACTGAAATGGTGTAAATAAATAACATCCACAAGGTTTCTATGCATTATGCAAACAAGTAGCTGCAGACATTAAGACTAAATCGATAGCAGAAGCTGATGAAGCACAAGAAGCAGCTGAGACAACAATCTCACCTGCTGCTGGCCCTGCAGTCTCTGCTGCAGCTGCAGCCGCAGGTGGTTGGGTGGCAGCCTGAGCTGGGGGCCCATCCCCTGGGGTCTGGTCATGCCTGGCCTCAGTCCCACGCTCGCTGAACCGCCAGGGAAAGCCCCGCGGGGAGCTCCGAATGTCACCCCCTGCTGCCCCACCGCGGCCAGCTCTGGAGGAAACGGAGCTTGTGAAGTTGGTGGGAACTGGAAAGTATAGGTGGGGGGTTTAGGGTCCATGGAAACCGGCGTGGCAGTGGGTTGCTGGGGCGGGAAGTTTTGAGGAAACGGGTCAAAGCAGCCGCCCTATGAGAGGAAAAAAGGAGTAAATGTAATTAGATTTTAAAAAATCCTTAGAGAAAGCTGAAAGAAATAACTGAATTAAGTAAAAAGTATAAAGTCAAATAAATAAACAATTACACCAAAACTTTAGTATCTGCTCTTTAAAGCTCTAAGACCTAATTTATATATGCAGTTAAACATTTAAAGGCAGAAAAATAAAACAAATTAGTCACTTATAATAATAAAAAATACCCAGAAAATATAGTGAAAAATGAAAGAACAAAAATACTGTTGTAATTTACATATTAATAAAAAAAGTCAGAAAAAAATAATTAATCCCATTCCAAAACTCCCAAAATTCTGTTTCCTCATTCAAATTTACACAATTATTTATGAGTATGTATGTAAAGAGAATTTCACTTTAAACTCATTCGTGCATTTATTCTCTCTCTTTTTTTTTTACTTGTTTTTCCACGCAGGGTGCCTACACTTTGGTAAACATTGAATTTAAGGACTTTCCTGCTCCAGTTTTCTCAGATTAAAGAGTCATATGCAGCTGCATTTGGCCACTGCTATCGCGGAATAAGTTATCAACCATAAAATAAAATATAAACTGAATGACATGACATTTTTTTTTTTAGTTTTTCAGAACATTGTTAGTTCACAGTGCAGATGTGTGCATAAAAGTATTGACGTAATTCAGGGCTCGATGTTAACCATCGCCCGATCTCCCGGGGCAAGTAGTTTTTATTGTTGGGAGAGTACAAATTTCATTGCATTTGCTCGCCGGGCAAAAAAAAAATTATTTATCATTCAAAATTACTTTAAAATCACAGACATTCGATGAAAAAGACCCAGAAGTGTTGCCGGTGCCATTTTTGTTGTTTTGTACACAGTCTTGCGGGATTTGGAAAAGGCGCGTGATTTGAAAAAGCCGCATGATTTTCCGGCAGATGGCGTGATATTTGTCCACCTAGCGGTAATTTTGATCCAGTTACCAAAACGACAAACAAGCTAGAAAGCGCTATCATGTTCATTAAATTTTATTCCCTTAGACATTAGAGAGGTGCATTTAAATGTTATAGAGCTAAACATGTTAAATTGGTGACCTGTTATGTTATTATTATTGTCTTGTTGCTGCATTTACAGGTGCTGGTCATAAAATTAGAATATCATGAAAAAGTAGATTGATTTCAGTAATTCCATTTAAAAAGTGAAACTTGTATATTATATTCATACATTACATACAAACTCATATATTTCAGATGTTTATTTTGTTTAATTTTGATGATTACAAATGACAACAAATGAAAATCTCAAATTCATCATATCAGAAAATTAGAATATTACTGAAGACCAATAAAAACAAAGGATTTATAGAAATGTTGGCCAACTGAAAAGTATGAACATGAAAAGTATGAGCATGTACAGCACTCAGTATTTAGTTGGGCCTCCTTTGGCCTGTATTACTGCAGCAATGCGGCGTGGCATGGAGTCGATCAGTCTGTGGCACTGCTCAGGTGTTATGATAGCCCAGGTTGCTCTAATAGTGGCTTTTAGCTCTTCTGAATTGTTGGGTCTGGTGTATTGCATCTTCTTCTTCACAATACCCCATAGATTTTCTATGGGGTTAAGGTCAGGAGAGTTTGCTGGCCAATTAAGAACAGGGATACCATGGTCCTTCAACCAGGTACTGGTAGCTTTGGCACTGTGTGCAGGTGCCAAGTCCTGTTGGAAAATGAAATCTGCATCTCCAAAAAGTTGGTCAGCTGCAGGAAGCATGAAGTGCTCTAAAACTTCCTGGTATGTGGCTGCGTTGACCCTGGACCTCAGAAAACACAATGGACCAACACCAGCAGATGACATGGCACCCCAAACCATCACTGACTGTGGAAACTTTACACTGGACTTCAAGCAACGTGGATGAAGTGCCTCTCTTCTTTTCCTCCAGACTCTGGGACCTTGATTTCCAAAGGAAATGCAAAATTTACTTTCATCAGAGAACATGACTTTGGACCACTCACCAGCAGTCCAGTCCTGTTTCTCTTTAGCCCAGGCAAGACGCTTCTGACGCTGTCTGTGGTTCAAGAGTGGCTTGACACAAGGAATGCGACAGCAGAAACCCATGTCTTTCATACGTCTGTGTGTGGTGGTTCTTGAAGCACTCACTCCAGCTGCAGTCCACTCTTTGTGAATCTCCCCCACATTTTTGAATGGGTTTTGTTTCACAATCCTCTCCAGGGTGCGGTTATCTCTCTTGCTTGTACACTTTTTTCGACCACATCTTTTCCTTCCCTTCGCCTCTCTATTAATGTGCTTGGACACTGAGCTCTGTGAACAGCCAGCCTCTTTAGCGATGACCTTTTGTGTCTTGCCCTCCTTGTGCAAGGTGTCGATGGTCGTCTTTTGGACAACTGTCAAGTCAGCAGTCTTCCCCATGATTGTGTAGCCTATAGAACTAGACTGAAAGACCATTTAAAGGCTTTTGCAGGTGGTTTGAGTTAATTAGCTGATTAGAGTGTGGCACCAGGGGCCATCAATTTTGAACCTTTTCACAATATTCTAATTTTCTGATATGATGAATTTGAGATTTTCATTTGTTGTCATTTGTAATCATCAAAATTAAACAAAATAAACATCTGAAATATATGAGTTTGTATGTAATGTATGAATATAATATACAAGTTTCACTTTTTAAATGGAATTACTGAAATCAATCTACTTTTTCATGATATTCTAATTTTATGACCAGCACCTGTATTTTATCAGGGAAAACTAATCCTGAGTCAGTTAAAAGTCAGGGAATTATTTAAGAATGTGGAAACCCTGTATAAAATAACTGTATAATGATTCTCTAGAAAAGTCACATTATATTAATAGTATTTAATCTGTAAACACTGTTTAAATAAACCATTAAAACTACTATAGTATATGTTGTAAACTTCTCACTGAACAGCATGAATCTAAGTAAAGATTCTGACCTGTTTAAAATATACATCAATACAGTTATTTTATTTTTTTTATTTTATTTTTTTATTTTTTACGGCACTAGTGGCTGATTTTTCTGACAGTAGGCTGAGGGAAAGGGGGCATGAGAGAGGGAGAGAGACATGCGGCAAAGGACCACAGGCTGCATTGGAACCCGGGTCGGCCGTAACAAGGACTAAGACCTCCGTACATGGGTCATGCGCACGAACCACTGCGCCACCTGCACGCCCAGTTATACATACAAAGTACAGTTTCTTATACTTCTATTATGAGGTTGGGCCCTTTTAGTATCTCTGGGATTAAATATCTAAATCCCAGCAGACTAAATAGAAAAGTCTGGAACTGTAACTCCTTTCTATAACAAGTATCCATTTTCTTACATTTCTGCATCAATTCCTGCCAATCAAAACGAGAATTTTATGTTTCAGTATCAAGCAGCTTCACTCTGTTCTCATTTATACTAAAGTGTTTAATGTCTTACCTGTACCAGTTTGTCGATACCCAGGGCCTTGTCCAGTTCAGCCAGCTCGCTCTCATCTGTTCCACTCAGAAAGGAAACAAGCTGCTCAATCAGAGCCTTCTCATCGTTACGGGCTTCAGGCGTGGTCGGGGGTCCCAGCTCTTCGTCCAGCGTACAGGGCACACACTGCCTGCTCAGGGAAACACAATCAGAATCTCTCACCTTTCTGAATTTAAACTCAATTTAAAGGACTTTTAAAGGTCAAGCACTACTAAAGTGATTTACAATAGCACAAAAGACAATACATGTAAGATAACAACTAAAACTAGTTTATAGTTAAAAGAAAAAAACTTTTTTGATTGGCTGACAACAGAGTTTGAAGTTTCTGACTCAAACAACAAAGAGAAACCTAAAGGTTTCTGAGGTTTAGTTGGACAAAGAGCACAAATTTAACCTAATTTGACGTATTTGGCTCTCACAGTCTTTATCTAAAGTTTTGTTTTCCGTCATACATCAGATACAAGTATTTTAGGGACTGCATTATAATAGCAAAATAGTACAGTAAGGTGGAGAGGTTTAAATATTAGGGCAACCATTATCAGCATACAAATGATTAAAAAAAATAATTTTGATTTTATCATCTAGATTTAAAAAAACAAAAAACAAAAAGAGAATAGTTCCCAAGAGTGACCCTTGTGGCACCCTGACATTGCAGACTCTTTGACTTTGACATGAAAAACACTGAATATTCAGTAAGAAAAATAGGGGTGGAATCACTCTAGAGCAAGAACTAATAAACCAACAGATCCAGCAGTCTGTGGATCGAAATCCTGTCATCATACTTACTCTTGAGGTGACGATAAAGACGTCTGTAAAGGAGTTCCGAGTCCATCAAAGGACAGAGTGTCAGACAGAGCCAAAGGCTGGAACTGAGAATCTCCCACATCCATCTTCGTTAGCCCTGAAAAAGAATCCAATAACTTTTATTTGGTAGCAATATCTGATTGTAAGACAGTTAAACAGATTTGTAGAAAAATAATAAGTCAGAGAAAAGTTCACAGGTATGGAGTACCTGAGCTAGGAGCAAAGGGGTTGAGAACTTCTGTCTCTGGAAAAGGGCTGCTGTCTTTGGGGGTCTGAAAGAGGTCTCCCTGGCCCTGTTGCTGGCCTGGAGTGGCAGGGTTGCAGAAATCAAAGGATGGCTGCGACTGGATGCTGCAGCCTGAGGTTTGGCCGCCGTCACCAAGTCCTGCCACAAGAAAACAAAAGACAAGAGACTAAATAAATAATAGGGGTACAACGGTTACAGGTTTCTTTAACTTTATCTTTAAAAAGCCTGACAGGTATTCTGATTTTCACCGATACACAATTCTTTTTATAACTGGCACTTACAGTTGTTATAAGATCACAAGACACAAGATATTTAAATTATCTTACTGAAAAAACAAAATGCCTGTGAAAAAACAACTTCTGAAATAACATCTTCAAATATAAATTAAAGTTCAAAATGTTGACAGGGGGTGTTTTTCAGACCTTTACAGAGGTAGATTTCAGTGGTCGAAAAGATTGGTTTCACATCAAGGTACTTGCTGATGACTGATCTCCCAAAATTAAAGGAAAACGCCGTTTTTTTTTACATTGGGCCCTTGATTTTACGTTATTACATCATGTTCTACTCACCCATATTAGTTTTGTGTCATTTGGAGCTGTTCTGAAGATATTCCGTTAACGTCTATAAAGTCTTCCTATGGGCAACGACTTGAAGGCGCAAACTAAACTGTTCATAATGTATTATTTATAGTACGTCAGCATTCATAACATGTAGGTGAATCACTGTCCCCCAGACATCTGCGGTTATATTTTTTATATTTATATCTTTTAAAAATGAAACGGCACGTGTATGACGTCATCTGTGCGCGCCGGCTACAATTCATTCATCTTGTCCGCTGAACTGCTGCTAGTTTTACTCACATGCCTGGAAGATGTCTAGTGCTACTACAGATGATCTCGCTCTCTAAATGGAATTGAACGATTCAGATTAGCTCGCCGAATTAATAGAAGGGGTAGAGCGTAGCCGCCTGTGGCCCGGGCTGCCTGTTACGACTCCAGTCCGGCGTGCGGATGACGTCATACACGCGCCGCTTTGTTTTGAAAAATGTTAGCATAGTGATCAAATATATTTAGACATTTTAGACCTATCAAAAATGTATAAAAATGATTTATATGCTAGATATTTTTCTTTAACATTTATGTCTTCATTCAGCATCACCATATCCTTCCATTAAAGTACAATTTTTGAGAAGTTTATTGTTTTGATGAAAAACTGTAGCCATGACCTTTAATCAACATTCCCTCCATTTTTGTTTTGTGTGTGTGTTAGTGCCAAAGCGCTGCTCAGTTTTATGTTACCAGCAATGGACAATAATATGAGGAGCCACTGTGGATGGCCTGAAGAGTCAGAGCCGAAGGTCACAGAGCTCTGACCTCTAGGAACCTGATCCCTCCCGTTAGGAGGAGATTTCCTCTGGGACGGCCGCTGCTCTGACAGGTGGAATAACTCTGCTGGGTAAAATCCCCAACAAATCAACAAAGATAGTATTTCAATGAGTTCATATCTGACTAGGGTTGGTTTATACACAGAAACCAGGTCGTCTCCGTGTTCTTAGCAGTGAACGCAAATATGCCCCCACCCCATCCGCAGACACTCTGCTGCACCTCTCCCAAATTGTAGGTGACCGCAGACAGTGTAACAGACACTAGGGCTCTGATTGGTCGAATCTACATCCACTCTATGCACTATACACTATGTGTATTTCCTGTTTGGTAGTTTACCGGCTTGTTTTGTTTGTATGACCGCCATTGTGGAAAACGACTCGTGAAGATGGACCAGCTAGAAGAGCGAGGTGCGCAAGAATGCTGGGGCCCTTTTTCCACCTGGATCCCTGCTCTTTTTGGACCCTCATGACCCTATGGTGTCACAAAAACTTGCTCCCACTTCCTCACCGCCTCGGCGTATCTAGACCCACAGCTAGTTCGTGATTGACACTCTTGCGTTGTGGCGTGGAATAGCAGCGCAGACCACGCTTCAAAATTGAGCATAAACCAACATCATATCTGCGACAAGATCACTGCGACACACTGCTGCGAGAGTATAACCAGTCCTTAAGAGACATCCGATTTGATCACTAGCTGGTTGACAGAAGCATCAGTAGGTAGTTAATGTATTGAACCTGCTGAATTGTGAGAAGTTAATGTGTTTTAGGCTCATACGATTTCAAACCCACAGTGTTTTCTAAACTAGAAAAGCACTCGCAGAGCTCCTCATATTGTGACCTAAACCTATAGCTAAAATTTTCACATCTGGATCTTAACTTTTGGAGTCCAATGGTGAAGCTGTGAATTAGGGGTGTAAATAATAATGGTTTTGTATCGATGCATCGATCCAACAGCCGACGATCCGATGCATCGACATGTCCACAAGATAATCGATTTATGTTTTTTTTTTCCTCCAGTCTATTTTTATCCATTTGCTCCTGGGCGTAATTCTCCCTCCCGTGCTGCGGTGGCGCTAAACCTATTTTGCCCTCCTACCTCGCTTCCTGGTTATACTCTTGCAGCAGTGGGTTGCAGTGAGCTTGACACAGACATTTTGAATTTATGCTCAATATTGAAGCGTGGTCTGAGCTACACGCTGTGGGTCTAGATACGGCCGAGGCGGCGAGGAAGTGGGGGTGAGTTTAGTCCGATGCCGGAGGGACATGAGGGCCAAAAAGAGCGGAGATCCAGGTCGAAAAAGGCTCCCAGTGTTCTCGCTCACCTCGCTCTTCTAGCGGGTCAAACTTCACGACTTGTTTTCCACAATTTCGGTCATAAAAACAAAACAAGCCGGCCTCCTGTCTGCACTGTTTGCGGTCAGCTACAATTTGGATGAGGTGCAGCGTAGCGTCTGTGGAGGGGGCGGGGACGTCTGGAGCCGAGGTATTGCATTGCACTCATTGCACTCATTTTGTGCAGTATTTTTTGATGCAAGGCCTTTCAGAATCTATAACGTATTATTATTTTTCAGGGAATGAGGTTTTAATAGGAAAAGGTGGAGTGCAACTTTTCTACTTCTGTTATTTGCTGTTGTTTCTAAAAAAAAAAAAAAAAAAAAAAAGGCATAATGATATTACAGCTTTCCTTGATGTATTTCAAATTTGAAACATTGTCTAGCCTGTAAGGTGTGGTAAAAAAAAAATGAACCAATTAATCGAATTAAATCGAATCGTGGTGTATTCTTGAGTATTGAAAATAATTGCATCGTTGGGTCAGGAAATCGATACTGAATCGAATCGCCATGATGAATGTGATTTACATCCCTACTGTCCATAGACAATGCTGCAGCCCCCTGATTAAGGTCGGAACTGTTTGTTTCTTCCATAAAACACACAATGTTAAAGAATCCTGTATGTGGATTACAACCGGATCATCGCTCCATGAGGCGCACCTCTAGTAAAAGTTTCATTAAAACTAAGTTTTATACAGACAGAAAACACGCACACAGTTTCTCCTAAAACATAACCTCCTTAATGTAGGTAAAAACACAACCCACACAAACAGCTGCATTTTACCTCTGTTTGGTGTCCCTGGAGGCTCTCTCTTCACATTAACGTTGCGGGGAGTGCAGGCCTCACCAGGCTGGAGATGAGTAGGTGACTGAAGTCTGAGCTGGAGGGAAGGGGAGTGGAGCTGAGGGGACGGGGAATGCAGCTGGGGAACCGACTGAGGCTGGGACAAGGGGGACTGGAGATGAGGTACTGGGGACTGGAGCGGAGCTGGGAGTTGTGTGGATGGAGAATGTAGAGGGCCTCCTCCACCGTTTACTGAGTCTTCAGTGCCTTGTTTGGCCGTGAGTGGACCTCTGAGGCCAGGCAGAAGCTGGTTAGGAGGGTCCTTATCAGCAGCTCCAACAGATATCTAAGGGCAGGAGGCAGAGAGAACAGAGCAATACTGTAAAAATGTGGTAAAAAGGGAACAGGGTGGGAAAATAAAACAGGAATAGAAAAGGTCAGTAAAGTGTAAAGGTCGGGCTGCGTGACAGACTGACACTGGAGACAAAGTCCAAGAAAAAAAACATTCAACTAAAGCTCCCTAAAGTACGGAAGAGGATTAGGGCCACTGAAAATTTTTTTATTTCAGTTTAGTATGGGAAAAAAGTCAGAATTCTGATTTTTTTTCTCAGAATTCTGGCTTTAATCTCAGAATTCAGACTTTTTTTCTCAGAATTCTGACAGCTAACAAACATGTTAGCATCAAGCCATAGCCATGTCTGTTTTAGAGACTAGCTCTCTTGTTTTGATGACCTTCTGCTCCTCCATTAATGAGGGGACCCCCCCAATCTGTTTTGCTGTCTAACAACAGTTTTTAGGGTTAGCTCTTGAGTTTAAGAGGAGCTCAGATTGCCATAAAGCGGGGCTCTGTGTCACATGACGCGGGGACGAATCTAATCCTCTCAAGTTACAAAGGCGAGTTTTTAAAAGGCAGGATGCACAGAGCATTGATATAAACTGATACTGACCTGAGACTGATTTAATATATTTAGAATTAAACTAAAACTAGAATAAAAAGTCACGTAGTGTTGCTTTGATAAATTGACACCAGTAAGCTTTGCTGATCCTTTCCTATAATTTTAAAAACATAATGGCTCATTGATAATTAAAACCAAAAATGTAGTCCTCCTGACTTTCTATTAATAATGTGAGGAGGTTATAGCGTATTTTAAAAAAAGAAGTTGAGTGGAAGGAAAAAGTGTCTTCTGTGAGGGTGTGCATGGAATGTTGATGTAAACAGTGGTAAATGGCCTGCACTTGTGTAGCGCTTTTTCAAGTGAGAGGACTTGACCAAAGTGCTTTACAATACATTCAGCCATTCACACAAGCACTCACACATTGTAGCCATAGCAGGGGTGGATTTAGGAAATTTGGGGCCCTAGGCAAAGACAGGCAGGGGGCCCACTGAATTGAGAAGACAGCACATAAAACAGACCCATTATACAGATACAGAAATGCTAATAGAATAGACATACATTATTTGTTCTATGTTTTGTCCCTCTCTTCTTGTTGTTTTCCTCTCTATTTGTTTGCAAGCACTAAGCTCACTTAGCTGATTGCTCTTTCCTGTGTTTTCCAAAAGGCGACGGCAAAAGTAAATAACCCAGTCCTTCTTTTCACTGTAGACAGGCTATGATCTGCTTATCTGTTCTCCATTTTTCATTTGGATTAAATAATAGCTGCATGAATCATGACAGCAGACAAGATAGAGGTGAGCAGGAGGCGGGGTTTATATGTTGTCTCTAAAGTCTCCAGCAAAAGAAAAAACTCAGTGGATTTGGCGCTAGGCGTTTTTGTGTAATCTAAGTACTAGAGGGGTCTGAAAAGTCGCTAAATACAGCGAAAAAAAGGCGTGCAGGTGGCGCAGTGGTTAGAACGCACGACCCATGTATGGAGACGTTCAGGCCAATTTATGCTTCTGACGCTTAGCCTCTGCAACTGTCAAATCTGTCTCTGTCTCTGAAAAAAATCCTGACTACGCGTCGGACGGTGGCAAACCAACGTAGACCTCAAGCGGAATTGCGCAGACAAAAAGCAGCTGTGATTGGTCCTTGGTACGCCTTTCCGGCTGTCTGTGAGGTCGTCCTTCTCGATTCGGTGCCGGGGCGCGCCATTTTTGCAAACCGAGGAACAACTACAATGGACAACTACGCTTCCTCCTTTGTCTTTTTGCCAACTCCAATAACAGAACCTGTTCCTCTTTTATGTCTAGCAATTCTAGATCCATCTTGCGGACGCACCACTGTTGTTTTTGAAGATAAACACTCCCGCCGGCGCCGTCGAAGTTCTCGTGACCATTTGGCGAAGTTCTTGCGAGTTGTCGAATACGCTCCCGCTTGCGCTTTGGCAGGAAACTGCTGTGCGTCCCTAGAAATTCCAAACCGACGGTGCAGAAGCATACCAGCAAAACTGGTTTGCCACCAGACCCAAGCGACATTTGACGAGTGTGGTTTTTGCGACACACACATCAAATAGCGACAAAAGTGCTAATTTGGCAACACGGCTCTTTGCACTGTTTGTTTTCAACTGGTTTGCTGCTTTCTGTTTGGACCTTTCTGAACAAGTGCGGCAAATGGACTGATCCAATGTGGTTGACACTGAAGGGGGGGTGTTGAGACACACATAATATTATAAGCTTTTTGATGGCAATTTAGCGAAAGGATTTTTATCAAAACCATAATTAATGTGCACAAATAAGTAATAGCTATATTAACCATACATGTAAACAGAGTTTTATGGGGCCCCCAGTAGGAACTTGGGTCCCTAGGCAGCTGCCTAGTATTGCCTAATGGTAAATCCCGTCCTGAGCCAAAGCTGCTCTGGAGCTCACTGACAGAAGGAGGTTGAAATTCAGAGATAAAACCTGAGCATTTAAAATACATTTTAACTTTTCTGTCATGTGAAAGAAATTTAAACTGCAACAGAAAAGTTCAACTCAGGCTTAAACGGTACAACTGTTTTTTGTTGTACCGTTTAAGCTTCCTCATAAAAGACGCACATTAAGAATAGAAGAAGAAGAAGAATGACCTGGTTTGAATGAATCAGAGTTTAAATTTGGGGTGTAGTGTGAAAAGCTGCTGTGTACCGTTGAGTCTCTGCTATCTCTGCGGTTCTCCCCCAGAGGACTTGATTTAGGGCTGATGCAAGCCGAGCCGCTCGTTAGTTTGGACGTCCCTCCGGCTGGGACGGACGAACCGGAACAAGTCAGGCCCTCGCTGCTGGCTCTCTTCTCTACCTTCACTCGAACCGTCTGAAGGCTCAAGGCCGACGGAGGTGGAAGGTCTCCCAAGTCCTTTAAAAAAAACACATTTGGTTAGAATCACCTTTTTTCTGAGATGGGAGTAAAATATACATGTGGCAGCAAAAAGACTGACAATCACCTTTTCGTCGGTATCCAGAAGAAATCGCAGTAACTGGTGGTCCCGCGGCTCTCTGGGATTGGGCTTGTGGGGCGCTGTGCCCGGAGCCGGACTGGCAGGCGGCTCCTTCTTGATCTCTACTTCATTTTTATTTCCTCCGACCTCGGACGCGGCGGCGGCGGTGTCGTTTGGACTGCTGTCCTGGAGCAGCCTGTGCAGAATCTTGTGGCGCTCCGTCAGACTGCTGTGGGAAGCGGGACAATGAAGACCCAGGGAGGGGTGAGGAGGATGAGGTGATGAGTTGTTGTTGGATTCCACTCCTGAAACACTGCTGTCCAGGAGCTGGTTGAGTCTGGAGTTCCCCAGCTGTGAGGCAGGAGGTAGGGGGGCTTTAGCAGAGTCCTCTCCCCCATCCCCCCCTCCAGTTTGGGGCTTTGCCGACTGTGGTCGAGTGGAGGAGCCGGTGGGCAAACTGGCTTGTCTCTGAAGTCCAGGCGAGGACAGGGGGAAAGACCCTGCTGACCCACCATTAACCCCACTATTACTATCGCCGGCAGAATGCTGTCTGTTGAGGCTGCCGCCGCTACTGGCTGCCCCCGAAGGCGACTGGAGGCCCGGCGTGGAGGGCGAGAAGGGGTTCCCTGGTACTCGAGGGCTTCCCCCTAACCCAGGACTGGCATGTGGCATCCTGGGTGACATAAAAGAGGTAGAGGAGGCTGTGTGTGGACTGCTGAGAGCAGAGGGACTGTTGACCTCTGGGGGGCAGTTCGTCCGATTGGGCGTCAGGTAGCCTGTTGGTGTGGAGGGGTTGTGTCCGAGGGAGGAGGCGTTGTTGTTGTTGGTATGAAGGACAGAGCCTTGGCTTGAGTTACTGCCAGGGGGAAGTGAGGGGGGCTGGGTGGGGGTGTGAGCAATACTGCTGGGGGTCAGTGGAAGGCTGGGGTTAGTGTTTTCCTGAGAGCTAGCAGTGATGTGTTCCCTGAAGGAGAGGGACAATAAGTTTGACTCCAACGGAACATAAAAATTCACATATCTAAAACATCTGGAAAAGTTTGGGATAAATCTACATTTTAAAACATTCACAGAACTATTTACATATATAATAATTTCTGATACAAAGACTTGAGGCACACTTTGAGATTTTATGTAAGAGAACAACAAAGTAACTGTAAAGTAGGGCTGCAACTGAAGATTCTTTTGCAAATCGATTAATCTATTGATAAATGGATTATTAATCGGATAGACAAAGGTTCCTAAAAGAAGAATCAGAAACCCTTCAGGCTTTTTTTTTTCTTTAAAAAAAAAGCATGTTGCATTTTCCAGATTTATTTTTTTTTATTTAAAAAAACTGAAAATAAAGATTTATTCCTCAAGTTGAAAGTGTGCATCATGTTTAAAACAAAGACCAAAAACACCAACAATTTCAAGAAAATACTAAAAACTTTTGTGTGTTTTAACTGCATATATTAAAGGTTTAGTTTTGGATCATCACATGGATATTGCACACAGTATGTCTACGGGTCACGGTACCTGTCAATAGTGTGAATGCCCATGATGAAGGGCTGTACGTCTGGTTTTGGTGGGCAGCAGAACTTGCAGCGTGTCTGTGCGCTGAGCGGCGTGCCATCGCTTAATGTGAAATGGTACAGGGGGCTGACAGCTGTGCCGCGTGCCATCACTGATGAAGAGAGAGAATAGTGACAGCTAGTCGCAAAAACAGTAAATTTCTTTCCTTTTGAGGATAAACTTTTACAAACATGCACATGATAAACATAAACAAAAACCATGAGGTAGGGATTATTTATTACATTAGATGTTAAAAGGTCAGAATATAGACTCCATAGATTACAGAGTTGATTATAGGGATGAAAAATGGAGAAAATCATCTTCTTCTTGGCTAAATCAGTCTCTTAAATCAATGTGGAGAAATTTTTCTAACTTTTCTTTACAACCTTTATCTATTTTGTTGTTCTTTACAGTCATGTGCTTTTGAACAGCTTTTATTTATAAGGTGACTCCTAAAAACCTTTAAAAACAAGTGTTTTTATCAAGTGTTAGTGTTTTTATCAACCGTTTAATCAACCATTCCAACTTTTGATTTTAAAACCAAACTGGCATCAAATATAAACTTTTTCTACGAAAGAATAAACTAAAAAAAAGGAGCATTTGGGTTCGATTTGTCAAAAGGAAACAATGGAGGGGATTTATTTCATACGGTGTCACTATGAACCTGAATGTCTGGCTTTAAATTCCTTCGAACTAGAGGCTCTGAAGTTTTGTAAAGGCGCAACAATGCCTAAATTCCTCAGTAGGAATTCAGCCAAAACCAAAGCTGGAGCAATGCAAGAACCAACGTACAAATTCAACTATGTATGGTTTCACAAAAGTAAAAGTCAACAAGTTCTCTGTCTCTCAAAAAAAAATTAAGATTAATAAAAAATAATGTTTAAAACTATGATTTTTCTATAAACCCATTGCTGTCATCTTCTATCAATATTGCACTATGCACTAGCATGTAGATGATTCACTCTAGGTTTTCAGGTTTTTCATGATCTTAAAGGTTTGCTTTTCCAGAGTAAATTGTCAGGAATTTAATTGAACCCATCATCTTAATGGTGACGATCTCAGTCATCCAGGTCATAGTCATTAAAAAAAATTTTTGAAAAACAATCCACTGGACTTTGTGTCCAAATTTGAAGACGTTTCGCTTCCCATCCAGGCAGCTTTTAAAACGGACACTTTGAATTGCAAAAGCTTCCTGGATGGTAAGCAGGCATCTTCAAACTTGGAAAAAAAAGTCCAGTGGATTTTTTTTTTTTTTTACTTTTTTTTTTGGAACCACCAACTTAAGGACTGGTGGGAGAGATTCAGAGTTACTCTTGTCTTTCATGTGACTAAAATAGATTTGTATATTGTGTATGTATTGCAAATGCAACTACCGTCAATTCCGGACTATAGAGAGCACCTGATCACAAGCCGGACGCTCTAATTTTAGAAAGAAAATAAATTTTGTACTTTTATAAGCCGCACCGGATTTTAAGCCGCAGGTTTCCCACGTTGTATGAGATATTTACAAATAAAGATATTACACGTGAGCATTTTTTAACGTTTGATTTAATCCGTATGATAAAACAGACAAATACGGTACATATTATGAATGTTTTTTTTTGTTTTTTTTTTACTACCTGTAACACATTTAAATATCCGTATGTGTCGGTAACACGCAAATAACGCTGCATATACCAGTACTTTTAATTGAACAACGCACAGAACATTGCAGCCAAACAGGAAAAGTCATTAATCACTTTCTTCTTCCTCCTGCGCACTAAAACCCACAAAGTCCTCTTCCTCGGTGTCTGAATGGAACAGCTTCAGGATGCTGTCACACTTCAGTCTCATCCTTGTCGCTCTCACTTGGGCACTCGCGGTCCTCTTCATCCCGCAGCAGCCCAGCCTTCCGAAACCCGCCGGTGATGCTGGATGTTTTCACACGGCTCCACGCATTGAGAACCCACTGGCAGACATCAGTGAAAGATGCCCTTTGCATGCGGCCAGTTTTGGTGAAGGATTTCTCGACACTGGTCATCACCTCTGTGAATACTCATCAATTTTATTGGTCTGTTTTTCGTGGCATGAAAAAAAAACATGTATTAGCCGCACTGTATTATAGGCCGCAGTGTTCAAACAGCGGGAAAAAGTAGGGGCGTATAGTCCGGAATTTACGGTAATTTCTAGACCCTATTTCAAATAAAAAATGTCAGGCGTCATGTTAGTACAATAAGGACCTTTGTTTTTTTTTTGTTTTTTTTGTTTTGACGGCACTAGTGGCTCGTTTTATCGACAGCAGCCATACAGGAAAGGGGGTATGAGAGAGGGAGAGACATGCAAGAAAGGACCACAGGTCGGATTCGAACCCGGGTTGCCCGCGTCGAGGACTCAGGCCTCCGAACATAGGTCGTGAGGGCTAACCACTGCATCACCTGCACACCCAATAAGGTAATTTCTTCAGTCCTTGGTTTGGTCTTCTAGTATATGATCATGCATGATCTGCATGATGACACCAGCAGGAACCTTTCTACAAATAGGAGAGTTTGATTCTGTGCCTCTCTACTCTTCATCCAAACTCTGGGACTTTAATTTCCGAATAAAATGCCAAATATGCTTTAATCTCATCTTACCCCTTTGGAGCATATACAACCAGTGTAACACTACACTGTTACAGTGTTTCGGCTCGGCAATGAGCAGTAAATAACACAAACACAAGCTATTTTAGTTTGATGCTGGTGCCATATATTGTGTTAAAACAAATATTTACAATCTGCAGATTTTAAGTAAAATGCATTGGAACACAAATCCCAAAAGTGGAAAGGAAAAATTGGTCCCACATGGTGAGCACCAAATTCAGTTCTTCTCACACGCAGGTGTTTTACTGCACAATAATTCTTTGAATGTCCATTGGGTTTCCCGGTTAAATGCCCATAGGATTTAGTGTACAGTGTGTAATCAACAGTGATGGGGTGAACAGTTTACAGGCCACAGCCTCCCACCCTGACCCAGATAAGAGGCTTCTAACATAGAAAGAGCTTAATCTCTTATCATCCTGATATATTTGTTTAAAAATGAATTTCACTAAATTGAAATTGAAAATAATGTTATGAAAGTAGATTAATTTCTCAGAAATTGTATGCTGTTGTATTAGAAAATTAATATATTTCCGATTTCAGTTAGAAAATTCATGCCTTTTTCTCATTCAACTGGATCATTAATCAGAAAAGCAATCAAACAGAATAACAGATTGAAATTTCACATAAAAATGTATTTTTTAGCAACTGGAGCGATTGAAATTTTTTAGATATAAACATGTGATTCACCGCATGAAAACATATCGATGGCGAACCCGGGTTACACTACGCTACTGAGGAGTCTTAAGCTAATGGCTACAGGTTGCTTGAGCCCGTCCTTTTGTTTTTTAAGAAGCATCTATTCTACCTAATAATGACGTAGTTAATGACATCTGAAAAACTTATGTACGTTCCACTGCTGCAGCTTAAAATGCCAAAAAGTTTATTTAACCTGAAATGAAAAAAGCCGATCTGTGATTTTATGTTTAATTATTCTGTGGATAAAGGAGCCGCTTGTCTGACAAATTGAATTTCAAACTAAAATTCAATTAAATATATATTTAAATATATATTTAAAAGTTTCATAGCATTAAAATCAATCTAGTGAAATTCTATTTCAAAGTAATGCATTTTAATTTAAATAACAATACAGATTCAATTTCTGGCTCTGCACTTAAAGTAACAGAAAGACTAAATAGTTCAATCAGAGAAAAAAAATCTATTTAGACATTTGTATTTTTAAAGATTTTCTAGTATTTTCTAAAGGATGTTAAAAGGAAACATTTGGCTGCAGCTGGAGGATTCTGCATAAAGTCATCTAAATAAAACATTAACCTTGACTAAAATAAATAGGCACTAATTGAAAAAAAATCTGATATTTTGCTGTGAATTTGTAGCCATTTTTCTAATGATGTTTATTCATCTTTAACATTTTTAATGGGAAACATTCAGCTTATACCTTTTTTTAATAATCTGCAAATGAAGCCTAGTATTTCTAGAGAACTAGTTCTGATTTAAAACGGTGCACCAGTTAATTATCTTGCTATATGAAAGCTGGACGGAGCTTTTATAAGAGGGAGTTCTTGGTGTTGTAGGGTTGCTTGTGTCTTCTCACCTTCATGCAGCAGCTTCTTGGCATGGGAGGGCTCTTTGCCCTGCGGCTGAAAAAACGCATAAATGCACTTCCTGACCAGGTCCTCCCAGCCAGGCCGGCTTGTCGCTCGCAAAGCGCTCGTTTCTACGGAGATGATCTTCCCTGGAATCGAAGCGTCACACAGAGATAAACACAAAAGATCAGTTTGAGCTGATTCCCCTCCGGTGATCTAGCTTTCACAGACGCTGTCCTCACAATGAGATCCGCATCAAACATTCAGGGAATTTTAATGTTAACAGATTTATTTTTAAGGTGTTTTTTCTCTGCATAGAGCCAAAGCTGTGTTTGCTAGGTGGTAGGAAAATGTACTTAGAAATACAGAAATTGGCAACAAACCCTCAGAAACTAATGGCTTTTATAACATAATGCTAAAAGAATGTTTTGTTCAAAGCTCACAAATTTATGGCCCATTTTTGACGAATCTGACTCCTCTGTAAGAATGACAGCATAAGAAGCTCAAAGTACAGTCCTGAAAACGTTTTCCCCTCCAAACATTCAGAGCTCCCCCATCAATGGGTGATATAAGCAAGATTTACTAAGATCAGAAGGTTATACTGAAAGGTAAGTAAGTAAGTAATTAAGTAAACTTTATTTCTATAGCACTTTTCACAGACCTCTTAAAAGTGTCTATATAAACAAGAGAACAAATGGTACAAGGTAGCTCATTCCAGAGGCGAGGCGCCACAGCTTTAAAAGATCCGTCTCCTCGGGTCTTAAAAAAAAGGTAGGGGTGTAAGAAATAATGGTTTTGTATCGATGCATCGATCCAACAGCCGACGATCCGATGCATCGACACGTCCGCAAGAGAATCGATTAATTTTTTTTTCCCCCTCCGGTCTATTTTTATCCATTTGCTCCTGGGCGTAATTCTCCCTCCCGTGCTGCGGTGGCGCTAAACCTATTTTGCCCTCCTACCTCGCTTCCTGGTTATACTCTTACAGCGGTGTGTTGCAGTAAGCTTGACACAGACATTTTTTAATTATGCTCAATATTGAAGCGTGGTCTGTGCTACACACTGTGGGTCTAGATATGGCCGAGGCGGCGAGGAAGTGGGGGCGAGTTTAGTCCGACGACGGAGGGACATGAGGGCCAAAAGGAGCGCAGATCCAGGAGGAAAAAGTGTCCCAGCGTTCTCGCGCACCTCGCTCTTCTAGTGGGTCAAACTTCACGAGTTGTTTTCCACAATTTCGGTCATAAAAACAAAACAAGCCGGCCTCCTGTCTGCGGCACTGTCTGCGGTCAGCTACAATTTGGGAGAGGAGCAGCGGAGCGTCTGTGGAGGGGGCGGGGACGTCTGGAGCCGAGGTATTGAATTGCACTCATTGCACTGATTATGTGCAGTATTTTTGCAGTATTTTTTAATGCAACTTTTCTACTTCTGCTATTTGCTGTTGTTTCTAAAAAAATAAAAAAATAAATGCATAACGATATTACAGCTTTCATTGATTTATTTCAAACTGGAAACTTTGTTTAGCCTGTAAGGTCTATAAAGAAAAAAAAAAAAAAAAAAAGTATCGAAAATAATCGAATCGTTGGGTCAGGAAATCGATACTGAATCGAATCGCCATGATGGATGTGATTTACACCCCTACTAAAAGGGAAAATCTGTATTTAGGCTAAAAAAAGCTGAGAGGCTTATAATGAAAGCTTTGAAGTGCCACAAGGACAGATCACTGCCGAGTTCAAGTGGAGAGAATGAGGGTCTCACTTTAGAGTAAACATCAGTGAAAAGTAAAGGTTAACTTGATTTTGAATGGCACAGTTAAAATGTAAACTAAATGTTTAAACTTGTTTAGTTGTGCGTTTAACTCAAGATAATACTTAACGAAAGAAAGTTGTCAAACTTCTAATGAGCAAATATGTAATTACATCCTGTTTACAATATCGAAACTGGTTGTGCTTTACCTGTCGGGTCCTGCTTCGTGATAAAAGACTCCGTGCGTGGTATCCGACAGGCGATGCAGATCAGGCAGCTCTGCAGGTCTGAACAGACAAACAGACAGCTGAGTGTTTTGGTGTGTACACTTAAAAAGAGCAATCAAAGAAATTAATCCTGTTTAAAAAAAAACAAAAAACTTTCTGTCATAGACCCAGGAACCAAGTGAGGGGTTATAATCCTGGATCTACAGACAGAAAGAAAGCAGGAAAACCTCCAAGGCCAGTTCTTATCAAAATGACTAAATACCCACAGAGCTGGACGGCCAAAAATCTGCAATACAGAAACTGCATCCTTCTAACTTATGAAGGCCACTCTAATGATAAAGACCAAAAAAACACAACCAAAAACATAGTATTGACATGTTTTTTACCTTTAACCACGAGAATAAACAAAACAAAAATCTGTCCTAGTCCATTTTTGCTCCAAACCAATCATTTTCTAAAATTGGCTTCATTCCTAAGATAGTCAACATCAGACTACAGAGGAAATGTATGAGTTATAGAACGCGTGTCCTGAATGTTTTTTAAAGGCAGCAAATTTGAAGTAAAACCCAAATATTTCAGACCAATAAGACTCAGATCGAGCTTCAATACTAAAATAATTGTCTCAAGAAGTCCTTGAATGCTCAAAAGAACAGGAATTTTGTATTTAACTGATGGCAAAACAAAACTAACACTCCTTCTCTTCGCCGTTCTCCTCTAGACTCACAAATGAAATCAGAGTAAACGCCTGTAAGCTCCAAGTAATAACTGTGTTTTATCGACGCACCTTCTTCCTCCTCGTGAACGGGCCGTGGCTGTGAGATGGTAAAACACTGCATGATCTCGTACTGCTGTCGGGCCTCCTGGTTCTCAGAGTCTGCCTCGTCCGGCGGTCTCTTCAGCATGCGACAGTTAAAGGTGTGGCTGTTCCTTCGGCCAGGTTCCTGCGGCCACAGGGCGCCGTTCACTGATAGAGAAGAAGAAGTGATTACTATCAACTACTCATCCATTCATCCATCCATCAATCCATTAGAATTATGTGGGAATTTAAAAATAGGTTATAAAAATGGTTGTGACTCAAGAATTGGAGAGGAAGGTCACAGTATACCCACCTCTAAAAACTACAGCGTGGTGTAAAAAAAAGCAAAAACAATACATAAATCCAAAGACTCATTTTCAAAAAAATGTCCTTACAGACACCATGAGCCTCCATTACTTTATTAATTTGCTGTTATGCTTGCATCACAGTATGATGCATAACTACACAATCCTGTAATTTCAGGTAACAAATTGTTGATTACCAGCGATTATGCCTGTGCAAAAATGAATAAAAATTTTCAGTTGTGATTTGCGATTTTAAAGAAAATGTATTTTTTTTTTTTTTTTTTTTTGCTTTCTGTAGCAGCAGTATTACTCTCAGGTTGCAATTTGGCAAGCGACAGCATCACTACAGGTGAATGAGAAGTTTGTTATTGAAAAGAAGTAAAATCATCTATTGTTTGGAACAGCAGAGTTTTAAGATTTCCGGCGTGCGCCAAATGCGTTGCTTGTTGTGTTGCTGATGAGTTTTATAGCAACACCAGCGACAACTCTGACTGCTATGTGCTGATTATGTGTATTTTGACGCTTATCAGAACGCATTACTACCCAAAATCAAGTTTAGTAGGAGGATGGGAGCAGGGGGTCTGTAAAATGAACGAGCTGCAGCCAAGTTAGTAGCAACGGCACTGAATAGTGACCTGTAAACATGAGCAACACGCAAGGTTCCCGGTGAGGGACAGGGGGGGGAAATAAGAAATGTATTTAGATGCGGTTGTATTAGATGAAATGGGGTTGTGTATTGAAAGACATATTTTAACTGTCAGAAAAGGTTCCCGGTCCAGATAGCCAACAAGTTAGCTGTTAAAGGGTTCCTACAGCATAAGGCAAGTTAAATTCAAGACTTTTTAATGCCACTTGAAATAAAAATTTCAAGTGGCACCAAATTCACAAGAAACACAAGAAAAACCCGCTTGCGACAACTTAACCCAAAGGTTTATTTTAACATAAACCACTGCACTAATGTTTCAAATTTTGAAAAGCTTCCCATACAGGAAGAAAGCTAAAAACACACAAATGACAGATATATTTTAACAATTATTTAACTGAATTCACAAACTTTGTTTTAGCAGGGAACAAAACAAATCAGTTTTAAAGCCACAACATAACCAGTGCTAAGTCTTTTTTGCAGCTATTTTTCTTTGTATTGTTTTCTTAGTATGTTTGATTTGGTGATAAGTGGAGGCGTTGCAGAGACAAGGGTGGAACTAAACTGAGAAATACCGGCTGTTTCTCAGTAACTCGATTTTGACGCTTTGTGTTTCATGCTTCGCATGTGCGACTCCACTGCCTTAATTCCAATCGTTCCGAGCTTGAATGACTTCTTGCACAAAATCCACTGAGCCTCATGTATGTTCCCTGGTTTTAGCCATGGAGAAAACTCTTGGCTGGAGACAATTTTCTTTACATTTACACTTGCTCATATTTTCCAGACAAAAAGTTAATGGTGCATCTCCCAAATGTCCCGGCCGCAACAACGCTTTTATTGGTTCCGCTATCGGGATGGAACCAATAATGGCGAGCTGTTATTTTTTTGAAAAAAAAAAAAAAAAAAGGTAAATTTTAAAGTTTTATTTAGATGACAAAAATAAATCATAATAAAAATAATCCTATTTATGATGTTTTTAAAATAAAGACCTACGAAAGACTGATTTAAGACATTTTAATACCAATTAAGGCCTTAGTTTTATTTTGAAGAATTCAATGCCTTTTAAGACTTTTTAAGGACCTGCAGGAACCCTGTGTTAACAGAAGCACGGCTGCCAATAGCACGGCGTGGTTAATAATAGTGAAAATGCCAGAGGAACAGACACGCACTAACCAACAAACCTCAAGCTAAGAAACAGCTAACTGTAGCGCAAATCTTTTGTGCAAAGCACCACATGCGACAGGAAAGGAGCAGGGTCGCTTTGTGCATAGCAAAAGACATGGTGCCCCGTTTGTACTTATTGCTTTGCTTGATAACTACAGAACCACTGAGACGTAATGAAAATTCTCAGGTTTAGGAAGATGATATCTAAAGTGTTTTAACGGCCGCAGCTGTGCTGGAGGGGAAACACAGCTGTTAGACCTTGCCCAGTGCTGCACCCACGACTCCAGTCTTATTGTCTCTTCTCAAGGTTGCTCTGTAAAGCTAAACAAAGTAAGTGGATTGCTATGAATCAATGTTTTGTTCCTTAATACCCCCCCCCCCCTTTTTTTATCTTCCTCTGCACAGTTTTCTTCAGACACATTTGCAGCTCTGAACAGAGCAGAGGATAAACTTATTTTAACGTTTGACAAGCTTCAGATTGTCACGTTATTTACTACAATCCTCCCATCTTGAATCCCTGCCTAATGTCTGACAGTTCAAAGCCTCCGCCCCTCTGGTGAGGTCACTCACCTAGGCTTTTAGGGAGCAGATTACGGACAAAATCATTGTGGTCTCCCACGTGGAGGATGGTGTAGACGCTAGAGTTCATCAGCTCTTCCTGGGTGTATCCAAGGTAACCCTTCACATTCTCAGAAACGAAGACAATGCGGCCCTCGTGGTTGACCACAAAGAAGAATCCATCGAGTGCCTTAGGGAGCAGGAGGTGGGAGGAGGATGAAAGAGAGAGAAAGTGTGATAAAACGGGCGTTTTAGTTCAGCTGAGGGAAATCTGTGTACCTGAGTTACCTCTAGCAGCATGGGACCAAGCGCCTCTTTCTCTACCAGCCCCTGACTACTGGAGGACACGTCGCTTTTCTGCACGTCGTCATCTGGAGACAAAAGAGTTGCTTTCTCTGTCAGGAGAAAAAAAAAACATCTTTAAATGTTGACCCTGGTCACATATGCATTCAGAGTGGGCGGTTCCTCACCCTGCTCACGCCGCTTGATCTGCTGGATTTGGTCCACGGTGCTCTTGAGGATGTGGCACTTGTCTGGCTTAGCGCTCACACTGGCGATGTCGCCCATGTTGGACGACACCAGCTCAGCTAGCTCCTCGATGTAGCGACACTCCAGCTCCCTCCTTCGCTTCTCCCCACTAGAGCAAAGGAATTCACATTCTAGTGACAGACGCAGTGATCCAAACTCTTTATCTCAAAGCATAGCTTTATATATTAAAATACTTATATTTCTGAGTCACATTTTTGCGATTTGAATCAAAAGCTATTCAATTCTACACAGGTTTGTTAAGGTTGGACTAATCATACAAGAATCTGGACAACAGTAGTTCACTTTTAGACGTTGATTTCTTTGCTGATGACCCAGTAATGATCAGAGCTTTAGCTGCGAATAGGGATATCCCGATCCGATATCAATCATATTAATCGTTAATAATCAGATATCGAGCTGAGTTAATTGACACCTATTTCGTCTGATTTGAAAAAGGTAAGGGGGCTGGTTGACCTTTGATGACCTCTAGAAATATTTCTTTATATATTTAAAACGATAGCGGCACAAACGAAAAATTTTGCTGCACAAATGTAGCACAAACGTTTGACACTAATTTTGTCTGATTTGAAGAAGGGGGGGGGGCAACTTCACTCAGGTTAAAATTTATGCAAAAAAACACAAACAAAAAATTAAAACACGTCTTTACGATAACTTTCGTATTGGATCCAGATACAGCATTTAAGTATTGATATTATTGACAATCCCTATTGCACTTATAAAAGAAGTATGTCCTTCGTACACAAAGGACAAAAAAATACTCAATACTTAAATGACTAGTGTTAATATAGGTACCCTTGAGTTGAATTTACTACCTTTTACTACCTCTACGATATTTTTACTACCAACATAACATTTTGGGGGAGCGGTGGGTACACAGCACTGAGCCATGTATGATGATGGCCCATCTCTCAACAACAAACATAGCCCCACTAACTTACAGGTGTAACTAACTCAGACTTTATCTTGACTCGGACGACCTCAGCCAAGAAAACCTTTTGCTATCTCTGAGTCTGTGAGGACGTTTTGGAATAGCTGTCTGATGCCGTCATTTGAGGAGTCCGAGTAACGCTTGGCTGCAGCGTTCAGACACCAGGAACCTCAGCTCTGCCTGCAGCCCCTGTTGTGCTGCTGGTAATACTGGTTTGACGCTGACGTGTGACGGCAATAATGTGCACGTAGCTGAGCTTAAGGGTTGCAGTTAAACAGCTCTGGGTAGCACAAAAAACAAAAAGAAAAAAACCAAACAGTAATCTGTTCCCTCTACAAGCTAATCCACTGGTGGTGAATTGCGGAAACTCTGTGGGATATAAAATCACCGTATAACTGGTCAGATTTATAGTTTATCTGTTCTTTTTGCAAGAAGCCTCTCCGTTATCTTTGAAAGCTGGGTCATCAAGCAAAAGTTGTGAAAAGTTACATATTCCTATGGAGAGGTGTAAAATGACTTGTTAGTTCAACATATGAAGCGGTTTAACCACCAATCTAGTCTATCAACATCAGCTGAGCTCCTGCCGTAATTTGTTATCATTTTTATACAGATTTTACAGTTAAAGGTCAGAATATATTAAAGGGGTGACGGTGTACCGGATCTGCTCGGGTGGTCAGAGCTGACAAAATTACAATACGGAAACGCCACTCAGACAAACTGTATTGCACCCCTTGTATACGCATCAAATCTCATCTGCATTCTGAACTTATTATTATCTATATTTGCTATTATTTTACGTATCTGCGGCAACCTAAAGTAGCTTAAAGTAGAAAACAATCATTCTCGGTCTAGGAGGTATATCCTGCATGCTAAGACAGACTGAGCTCTGCCTTTTAACAAGGTTTTATTAAAATCTGAGGGCAGGAGAATAGGAACATCTTAAAAAAACATAAAAAGGCTTTCGTGGAGCTTTTAGACAGAAAAAAACTGTTATTCTACTTGTAATGAACGTTTGTTGTTGACGACATGCAGTTAAAACTAGTATAAGTATTAAGATGGGTAACTGACCAAGCTAAAAGAGGCTAACCAGTTAGCTCCTGAGCACAGCTATCTACAGCGCTACCCAGCTCGCCCCCTTTATACCACGGTCTAGCAGTTAGGCTACTTTTATTAAGTTTTACCTGATTGATAAAAATCTGTTCATGGTGAACAGTCTTTAGTGCACATGTAGTCACGAAGACAACAAGTGCTACCGACTCGGCACATGTACAGCTGCATTATGTTACTATCGTTGTCTGGGCAACCACCAAGTTCAATGTCATCGCCAACTGAGCAGATCTGGTACCTATAACGGAAAATTTACATTTAAATCGCTGCCATTCAATGGCCTTTATTTAAGTTCATTCAATTTACAACCCTGCAGAAATCCACTATCTTTCTTAAATGCTATACATTTTAAGAATCGATTAGAGATCTATTTATTTAGCACCTTTACACTTTAAAACTCTGATCGGTTCTTAAGCATTTGAGCCACAGTGAAGTGTCTACAGATACCTTATTAATGAATAGATGTCTTAATATTAACATGTTATTTGTTGTGCATATGGTATTTCTAGAGCAGAGTGAATTTATCTTATAAATTATGACAGTTTTAATATTCACAAACACATTTTCTGTAACATTTACGTCTTGAATGTGTGTATTTATTGGCTTTTTATCGTCTTTTGTTCATCCTCAACCTACCATGGAACAACATATTTTTAAAAAATAAATTCTAGTGGTTAAATCTGGCATATTTACAAAAAAAGAAATTGAACTTCTGGATCTGGATCTCACAATCGAGAAATTAACTCTGCATTCTGACCCATCCCCTAGGGGAGCAGTGGGCTGCCATTGTGCAGCTCCCGGGGAGAAGTGGGTTAAAGGGTCTTGCTCAGAGACCCAGAGTGCCGGCTGTGGGGTACTTGAAACCCTCTCAGAGCATAAGCACACTGCTCTAACCACCAGGCCAACACTCCCCCGTAATAAGATAAGATAATAATTGAACTTTATTGATCTCACATTGGAGAAATTCACTGTTCCATTATTAAATAAACAGACAAACTATCAAAGCAAAAGGCTTAGGTTGGGTCTGACGATTTGTAATCTTGTTTTCTGAATGCAGAAACAAGCCAAATCAATTATAAACAAATACAAAAGCATGATAGTATGGTGCATTTGAACATTAAATGCATTTATTTTTCAGATTAAACATTAATTTTTGTTCAAACAACAGAAGCTGTAATTTGGCAGCAGCTCAAACATCTACTCTCCCTGCAGGCAAAATGTACCCTAATTACTTAGTAATGAAGCTTTCAAAGCGCTGACTGTGAACGACAGGAAACAGGAGGAAGCAGCAGTGAAAAATGGGAAGCTGGTGACAGAGCAGGAGGACGTGCTCAGACAAGATTATCTTTAATAATTCACCCTCCTGCAACGAGACACACCAAGGGAACAGACAGCAAACTGCTGAGAGGGATAAATATTGGACGGCAGAAGATGGATGTCTGTTAGAACTGACATCGAGTAAATTGATCAATTAGAAATTTGAAAAGAAATGACTGATAGGGAATTTCTAAGCAGCCGGGCCAAAAATCACGGATTCCACATATTAGAATCTGTCGAGTATATTGTTTTGAAGAGATTCAGGTTTGATTTATATATTTACTTTTATCTGTTGAGCTAAAAGAAATGAGAGAGATTTACAATGGAGGTTAAGTGAAGAATAAATGTTTACATATGTAATAAATCTAATTATATTTAATCAGAAAACCCTGTTCAGATGTTTGTTTCTGAGGCATCTGTGATCCTTTTGGAGTAAAAATGGAAATCACTTAAAGTAGTAGTAGTAGGGAAGCGGCTGTTCCAACGGTTGCATTTCCGAATTCTTCAGAGTGGTGCACGACTTTACACGAGTGACTAAAGTGAATGTGATTGGTCGATTATCAAGGGGGCGGGATTGATGTGGCAGAAGGTTCACAAGCAAGTGTGGTTGTGGCCGGCATCTTGCTAACCAGTTAGCAACTTAGTGCTAGTAGGTTCCCAATGGGAAATTACATTGGGACCAAAGTAGCACTAAATTGGTAACTTAGAAACGACACTGTCAAGGTACGCTATGGACAGAGGAAACGTGCAAGAGGAGGAGAGTTTAGTGGATGAGTCTCCTCCGTCATATGTGTTTTATTTAGAGGAGGAAAGCGGGGACGAAGATGTTGTGGAGGACGCCAGGGCGGCAGAAGCTTGGTTTGGTGTAGAAGGCTTACAGCCGTACATGTTTGAGCCCTTGCCTCGCAACGCTGCCAGTTCTGTTAGCTCTACGCCTGCCGAAGACACAGACGTCCATCCCCGTGAACACTGGGACAGAAAGTAAATGATTTTTATTTCTTATTTCAACCGTTGCGTATATTAGCTGCGACATATGAATCAAGGTGTTATGACCGAAAAACATTTTTTATTGACAGATGACCGTATATGATTGGCTGAATTTAGGTGTACAAGCTGACGTATAACTAACTGGCTTGCATAAGATAACAAAAAAAAAAACAGATTTTAAGACAAGATTTTTTTTTTCTTACTTTTGGGACAATATGGTTGAGGAAGAGTACATTTATACACATGTTTAAGCCAGAATGATTTGAGAATTAAATATGACTTCCCTACGACTTTAAATTCCACGCATCTAATAAGCAGCTAATGTTGAAACCTACTGAAACTGCTATATTTTCTACCCAATGTGCTAAAAGTGTTTCCATATCTCCAAAGCCTCCCTTTGCTGATATGTTTAGACTGAAAACTGAACTCCAACTCCTGCTGAAGACTCTGCACATTCCTGGACTTAAGTTCCAACAACATACATATAGGCTGATGAGTAACAGAAAGGTATGTGAACGAACTGGGTGGCGACAGACGGAGGAGGAGATAAGTTTGGATCAGTGGCTCAAGATCTGCTAGCGTCTGCATCACTTTTTACAAACTTTTAGGCCACCAAATATTAGAAACACCTTTGTGGAACTACTTGGAGAGACATCACACCCAATGGACACTTACTGTTATAAAGATGAGATATAACATACTATTTGTAAACACAGGAAAGCCAGGACCAGATTGGTAATGTGTGTAATATAGATAAACCTCATTGTTAATTATAGGTTTTTTTTCTATGTTGTCACCATAGAAAAGCGAAGTCGACCTAAATATGAGTCTGTCTGTGAAAAGGAGGGTCATTTAGTGCAATACCTAGAGCTGATTGGGTTACATGCCAGCTAGTGTCACATTGTTCTTTTATTAACAGGTAATTATCACACAGAGCTACAGCTTCTGTCTCTCATACACTTAATTTAATACCAACTGCACGTGAGGGACCAGAAACCCCCTCTATATTCTATTGGTTTTCAAAATAAAAGGCGTCACATAGCATTACACCACATCTAGTACCCGCCTTCCATAACACACTTTCAGCCAATCGACATGATTGTCACAATAGGATTTGTCTGCAGCTTCTTGCGTATTTTCACAACAAGGGGAGTAAGCTGACAAATCAAACTTTTTCCAAATCCTGTCGGAAGAAAAGCACAGACATCTTTCCCAGCTACAAATGCACAGAATGCTTCTCTTTGCTCCTTTTTTTAAAAAAAAAAACAAGAAATTGTCGCTACTTTAGCTCAAACCGAGTCAATTGCAGTATGGAGTCATCCAGGGCAGCATGTTTGTAATGCCCTGAAAAGGCCGTTCTGACTATCGTCATTCCTACATGTCCCACCCCCAAAAACACTGCTGGCATGTCATTGGTCCGACCCGCTGGTGGTTAGAAGACGGACGTATTAGAGTCTTTCAAGGTGGATTTGTTGTGAGACTGGAAACTCAGATCTCGCTGCAATCCAGCCTGAAGCACAAGGTTATTATAATTCTGGATTTTTCAAATGATGAGCAAAAAAAAGCTGAAAATGTTGCTGTTATACCCCAATCACCTCTCGTGTAACTAGATCATAACTTTAATATTTAAAGCGTAAGGACCCATTATTCTTGTATTTGAGGCTTTAATCCACAATAAGGTTTAATGCAGATATTTTTTACAGAGGCCAGGTTTCACTTCACATCACTTCCATTTTATTTTTTAGCAAATAATCCAACATTAAACAACAAAACAACAATATTAAAACAAAACAAGACCTACCATTTACCAAAAAAAAAAGGAATAGGCTGAAGCAAAGCTTATTATTGCCTCCCCTGTTTTATACTTACAACCTTTACAACCTACCAGGTTCTTTACTGCGTATATAAATATTCAAATCTACATAACATAGGATTTTATCATTTTACATTTTAAATCCCTTTTAAAATTCACCAAGAAAGGACATAACTTTAAATCATCATTCAATTCATTCCACATTTTCACACCAATAACTGAAACACATCTAGACTTTATCTGGCTCTTCTCTTTTGCACATTCAAATATAAACAAACCTCGCAAATTATATTTATTCTCTCTTAACTTAAATAATTTCTGAATACCAGAAGGAAGACTTCTGTTCACTGCTTTATGCATTATTTCCAGTATTTTTATATAAACAATGTCTTTGAATTTTAATGTGTTGCTTTGAATGAAAAGTTTATCAGTTGGTTCACGGTATCCCACCTTATTAATAAGCCTTATAGCTTTTTTTGCAACTTAAACAACTTATCAATAATTGTTTTATTTGCATTTTCCCATACTTCTGAACAATAAGACAAAAACGGCATAACCAAAGAGGAATATAGAATATGCAGGCTTTTAATATCTATTAAATCATTTATTTTAAATATTCCAATAGTTTTTGCAATTTTATTTCTAATACCAAATCTGAAAATAATGAGAGAAGGGTAAGAGAGATAGATCAACAAATGGAAGGCTAAACGTTGTTATGAATGAATGAATAAATAAATAAATAAATAAATAAATAAATAAATAAAGTAATGTATGGATGAATGGAGGTGAAAACACATTAATTTATCCTGGAAGCATCCAGAACGCTGGAGGAAGCAACAATAAAACACTAAGGACTGATGCAGTCCTGACGGAGACCACTTAACGGGTAACTACAAAGGTATTTTATTGTTTGGGTATTGTGTTCACAGGGATCCAGACTTTCAGGAGATACAAAGTTATCATATCGTTACTCGGTCTGAGCGCAAAGATTTTAGAAATCCGGTTCTTTGCATACGAGCAGAACGTGTCTTCTCTGAAACCTTGCAGGTTCATCTTTCTCTGTAATCTATATGCATCTCATAGTCTCAATATTTCTGTTTCCCTCACATTACTTTTCCTGCAATCTCTGTTTTTGTCAACAGATAGTTCCTACTTGCAATCAGCCTCTCTCTGCGCTGTGTCATGTTCCACTGTGACAATAACCTGAAACTGATGGTAGCTTTCCACTTCCCCGACCAAACAATGATTCTACCTTGTTGGGTTCAATGGTGTAAACACAGATATGATTAAAACCGATGAGGTATATCGTATGGCATGGATTTGCTCTTATGTCTTAACTTTTTATACAGTTCAGTAAAGTAGATGTAGCTTTATAAATTTAATACCAAGATGGAATTGAAGCACCACGCTATTATCTCTACACGCAGACATTTCTGTTATATTGTTGATAAATTGTTTATTTAAGACTCGAGAAGCACTCTGAGAGCGCAGACCTGTCAAATAGGTCGTCTCCCCAAACATGTTGTGACCAGGCCTGTCGCGATAATCAATAAATCAATTAATTGCACAATAAATAAAAACTATCCACGTCATTTAATTTATCGGCTATATCATCTCTGTCGGTGTTTTTCTCTTTCTATTGATGATGCTGAATGACAAGGCTTAACTCCGGTGCGTTCCACTGACCCCTCCCCTTCCTCATTTTTTAGCAAGGGAATAAATGAGGAGGGAGGAGGAGGGGGCTATCGCATCAGGTTGTCAGCATGCAACATTTTTTACTTCTGCAGCTTTAGAACCCCGTGAGGAGTTAGAGGAGTTAGCGAGGTAAAAAAAAATGTTGGGGGGAAAAACTCGAAATGGAACTGGTTTCAAAGTCGAGCGCAGCAGCCGCAGTGTGGGAATATTTCGGATTCAAACCAAATGACAGAGGCGAACCGCTGAACCTAAGCGAGCCAGTATGTCGGGTTTGTCATAAAACAGTAGCAACTAAGAACAGCAATACCACCAACCTACACATGCACCTAAAGCACAACCACCCAATAAAGTTTCTCCAGCTGGGGAAAAAAAGTACAAGCGGTGGCCCGCCTGCGTCTTCAAGTTCGCGACAGTAATCATACAAAAAGGACGGCGCAAAGTGGCGCGTGCTCACAGACAGCGTAGTTCATTTAATTGCTAAAGGGATGCTCCAATTTAATATTGTTCAAAAGCCTATCTTTTTTTTAAATCTAATGATATACAGACTTCATTATTTGTACTTTATTGATTAAATGTAGTTTTTATTTCCACTGTGGTTTTATCTTGTGTTTAGTTTTTATTCAAGTGTATTTTTAGTTAACAGAGACTGAGAGTCCATTTGATTTTTATTTCTCGTTTTATTTTGTTAACCAGTTCTCAGTGGCGGCCGGCCCATAGGGGGCGCTGGGGCACCGCCCTCCCTGATAAGAAGAGAGAAACGTGAAATATATTTTTAGAAATTAACTCATAAATGTCAGTTTTACTCTCTAGAGTGTGTACCTATACGCAAAACAAATTATATAAACTACATTTCCCTATCTACTGTCATTAATTTGTGGATTTCCACAGACAGACTCCTACCGTCTCTGTCCTGGGGCGCTGATCAGACTGCCCCACATGTGCAGAGAATCTGTCAATCATGTACTATTGCTAGGTGAATTTAATAATTTAATGGCCAATCAGCGTCTCAGAATTTTATGGTCTTGGGGCGCTGAAAATGCTGCGCTTTAACAGGCTTCTGCACCCAATGCGCAGGTGCAGACAATTAGAGGGACGATGGCGAACGTAACGAGCGAGATGCAGCTTCCACCAAATTCGGTGAGATCCTTATTTATCTACCAGTTTGCCAGAAGAACATCCCTGCTGTAGGATATGAAAATTTCATGTCATGGTTATTGTGACCAAAATCATCACTGTTACTGTTATTATATAGTAAATTAAATCATTACTGTTAAATTGTATTTATTGTCCAATTGTTTAGTTGGAGACATACACTAGGCTATATCAGCCTGACCAAAAATATTTTTCACCAGCCACCACTGCCAGTTCTAGTGTTAAGTGTTCTGTTGAAAATAAAGTGCGTTTATCTTTGGCAGGAAATCGCATGCAATGTTACGTCATTTCCATTAAATCAGTTTAAAAAGGTCCTCAAACATTATTATCGTTTAACGCAATAATTTTTGAGACAATCGTTCAGAAAAATTTGTTATCGTGACAGGCCTAATTGTGACTTCCACCTTAAGTTAATACCTGTATTCAGAGAATCTTTCAAAAAAATTCCCTGATCCAGGTGGAGAAATTGGATCATCATTAAATGTAATCAATTGTTGCCAGTCAGCCTAGTGCTGCTGCCTGTGGTGGTCAGGATAATGATATTGCTTTTATCTACTCTTGTCTTCACCAAAACACATACAGTATTTAGAAACCATGTATGGATTTTAAGGTTTCTTGTTTAAGTTGAACTAGCAAAAAAACATAACAAGAAATTGTGGATATCTGTTCATAATAGTCAATCTGGGACCTTTATGTCAACATCTCTGTTTTTATTTTCCTAAAGTCTACAGGGAAACTCCTGTTGTTTCTATATCAAGGTTCATGTTTTCAAGCACCTCTCCAAGGTTTACCATCTACTCGATCTGCAGCCCTACTGACGTAATGTTTGTGAGTGCAGCAGCGAGTGGCATGACTGGACGTTTACCTTTGCCCCGATGTATCGCATGGTGAGCTCTTCCTCTTGTGTGACTCCAGCGTGGCAGGGTCCAGGGGGCCTTCCCCTACTGCACTCATTTTCAGCTTAGACAGACCTGAAAAGAAGAGAAGCAACAAAACAGAAGAACCATTAACAATCTGCAGCAAGCCAAGATCTTAAACAATAGAGATGCCATCAAGTCGCTTTTCTATTCCCTTATGTAAGGTGCTTTTTAACTAAAAAACAAACTGATGATGATCTTTATGACATGATTTAAGTAAAGAAGACAAACATGTCCTTCAACTAACAGAATTAACAGCTGCAGGCAGCTCCAGCCAACCCTAAAATGTATAAAAAGTAGAACCAGAAGGTATAGGAGATTTACAAGATGGAGCTAATTATGCACATTACAAAGAGCATACATCAGAATATGGAGCTGATCCAGGAAAACACAGTGAAGTAATCCTGACATTAGACTGATGGGATTTTTATGAAACACACCATCAGAATCATATGCACTGTGAACTTTTATACAAAGATATTGTAATATACAAAATATATAGATTTCAAAGTAGCTGCAGTAAAATTAGGAAAAAGCAAGAAACATATTAAACCTTAGATAAAAATTTATTTTTGTGTTATTTTATCAACTTGAATGAGACAAAACATTAAAGCTTTTTCAGACTAAGGTAAATGTTAAAGGTAAACCAAGCAGGTTGCTCTGCTCCAGGAAAAAATGTATTTGGATTTCCCTTTGCTACCCTTTACTTAAACCCCTACAAAGGTATTATCAAGCCCTATTGCTCTAAATCCTGTTGCTTTGTTAACTTCCAGTTGCAGAATAGAAAAAGTTATTTCTCCAGGACATATTACTCGTACAGCTCCAGCAAAACTATACGGCTTTAAACTTATGGTTCTTCTACAGCACCTTTTATCTGTTTAAAAGCAAAATTCTATGCAAAACATTACAAAAAAACTGATGTTAAATGTGTGAAGGAAAAGAATTCAAGCGAAATTTAGATAATTTCTTCTATGCAGAACTTTACTTGGCCAGTTCATTTAAAACATGTGCACTTCTATGACTCTTCTTCTTAAAATAATCTCTATGGAGAATAGATAGGAACTAAAGTCGTTCCCATATGTCTTAAAGGCATACTATGCAACATTTTTCAGTTAATTAATGTGTTCCATAACATTTTGGATGATTAAATGAGTCATTTCAGGTCGAACAAAGGTTTTCTCGGCCGCCCTGGTGGTCTGTAGGGGAAATACCGTACTTGCAATTGCAGGAGCCCTCGGCCCGCACCCACAGGCTCAGAAGTCTTGCGCATCGCGAGAGTCGGTCTTGCTTTACGCGAGAACTGCTACACGCCCCCAGTGAAAGGCATGCTCGTTGCTAGCGCAGTGGCGATATTTGTGCAGTTATCATGGCGGAACCAGCGAGAAAACAGCGAAAGCCCATGTCGGAGCAGGCAAGAAAGAGGAAAAGGGCTCTCTACTGCAGTAGACATGGTGATTTGTTGCGTTCGTCTGTCTGCTACGCTCAAAACAACCGCGCCTGGCTTGACGGAGAAACCAGGAGAACAGCTGAGCATATTTACAACAGAGCACTTTTACTTTCGCCCTCTGGGGGGAGCCTTGCTGGAAAATCAACACCGGTTGCATAGTATACCTTTAACCGGATGCATTCCATCCGTCATCTTTTTAGGCAAACGCAGCATTGCACACCTAGAATCGTCATTCTTCCAGACCAAAAAAAGAAAGTCCAATGATAGCAAGTGGAATATTGAAAGATGGATAATGAAAATGTATTATGTTTTGAACAAATGCTGTAATAAAGTAGCGTTAATACTAGGGATGCACGACATTGGGATTTTGGCCGATATCCGATATGCCGATATTTTAAAACTCATGTAACCGATATCGATACCGATGTTAAAGCTTAAATAAGTAGTCATTGAAAATAGCAGTTTTGTTATCCATTTCTGACACTTTGAAAAATAATATACTCAAATATATTTTCATATGCTGATATAAAATAGATTTTTAAAAACGCGTTATTGATCTATTTTACTTTCAAAATCTCGTGAAATTTCATCGTTCTGTTACAAACTCTCGTTATATTTTGCAAATTCCTGTGAGATTTTGTTAGTAAAATAGATCGATACCGCGTCAATATATCAACATATAAAAATATGGCAAAATTTCGTGAATTTTCGGGGGATTTCGTAGCATAACGATGACATATAGCAATATTTCATTAGTAAAAGAGATTGATATGGTGTTTTTAAATGGCAATATATCAGCATATGAAGACATTGTGATATTTTAATATCACAATTCCCTCGTCTTTAGAAGTTTTTAAGTCTGTAAAAAAGAAGTTTTTGAGGAAGAAGAAGTAGTAGTATTTTTTTTTTAGACTTTAGAAACTCAGAAGCTGATCAAATATTGGGTTAAATATCGGTGGGGTGGCCGATGTCCGATATTCAGTTTTAAGGCCGATACAGGCTGATACCGATAGGGGGCCGATTATATCGTGCATCCCTAGTTAATACCGTTCCTTCCCGTTTCGTGATGCTCGTTGCCGAGACTGTGTGAATGGTTGGGGAGTGGCGGCCTAGAGCTTGGAATCCTGAGGTTCTGAGTTCGAACCACACAAACTGCCTCCCCGGCTCCCTGAGCAAGACCCTTAACTCCAATGTGAGATTAATAAAGTTCAATTTTTTATTTATTTTATTATATCCTTTCACCCACAGCAAACTGTGAAAGACAAAAATGGGATACTTCTCTATAGTCAAACTTACTCTGCCTTTTCTAAAGCCCTTCTGCCTACCAACGTAGCAGTTAGCAACAGCGATGTCCCATGGTAACTATGCATCCAAATGATTCCCGACTGTAACTATGATGACAAGATTAAATTTCTCTGATCAAACCAACAGCTTTCTGATTTGGAGATCACCTGTGGCTCTATGCATATTCTACAGGACAGATCGGACTTTTTTATCCGTTTGTTTTCAATTACATAGTTCAATCTTGGGAGTCTCTACGATGACCTCCAAATCAAACCTTTTTCATATTAGAATTCCTGTGACTTTTGCTTTTTTTATCCCATTTTTGATGTAGAAATACAGATGATTTATGGCAGTTATCTTCAAATGGATGAGTCTTAAAATGTGGAGTTTGTAAAACCACAACGCAAGAAGGGATGGATAAAATCTGGAAAAAAGAAAAAAAAAATGCTTATCCCTGTTTTTGCTTTTCTTCCCAGGCCACAAATGTATGGAAAATATTTAAAATCCGTTCAATTTTTAAACTTTCCAGACTGTGCTGGTACCCTTTACAGATGTATAACCCAGCCAAGATTTACAACTGATAAAAATTTTAGATGCACATCATCTCAGAGCGTTCAACAATCTGTGTGTCTTAACAGGGAAACATCTGAGCAGCAACATCTCCAGACCACATCCCTGCGGCTTCATAAGGACGGTTGACATAGCAACAGAAATGCTGCAACAATTGCCAAAATACAATAGATAGCAAGGTACCTGAAGGACTGTTAGAGCAAAAATGGTCAATTAAAAATTTGTTTTTGGCTGCAAACATAAATTTGATGTTGATAATGTTGGAGTATTTCCAATTAAAAAAAGTTTGATGGTAAAGTCCTGTTCGTTTTTTACAGCAGAGCCAAACAATTTTAACCAACTTCACCAACTGTTGTTGTAAACAGGGAAAGTGCTTAACGGAGTTCTCGGCTGGATTACCTGACTGCAGAATAAAATCCAGGGGAGTGTTTTAGTTTTTTTTTTTCCAAGGTGGCTCTTTGTTCAAACCATAAAAACCCACCAAGGAAGGATGCTAACATTAGCTGCCTTGCTAACATTACTCCCATCTCTGTTTCACAAAAAGGAGCAACTCCAACAATCAACAACTTGCTTGCAGACTGCAAGTGTTGCTGCTTGTGCAACTTTTGACCTTTTAGGTTAAGAGATTGAGAAACAATGATAAATGAAGCATGGCTACCTGCTAATGTTAGCAATGCTACATCAATAAACTATGTAATTAGCTTACCCCTAAAAAATAATTAAAAAACAAGAATTTGTGGATTTTCTAGGTAAAATATCAGGTTATGACTCCTTTCAAAAGGATCTCTTATTAGATTAATCAATGCATTAAACAAATAATCCATACATTAATGAATCATAAAAATAAAAAGCTGCAGCGCTAAATTGATTAATCTATTAATATTATTTCTGAGTATAAAAATAATCTGGAATAAAATAGAAATACCCTTATTGTCCATAGGGTTTATACAGGAATAAATATATATATATACAGCAATCACCTTTGTCGTTGTCAGGGTGTAGCCATGTCTAGGGATGGGAATCGAAAACCGGTTCCTGTTCAGAACCGGTTCCGTATTTTTCCGATTCCATGGCATTGTTTGGCAGCTCGCTGAACGATTCTTTTTTCGACTCCCGCAGCACCAGAGCCTAGAGCGCCGGCTCTGGGGAGCACGACTTACGTCACGTTGTTTACGTAAGTTACGTAAGTTACACAAGTTACGCAAGTTGGAAGAACTATTCGAGGAGGAAGACAACGAGCTGCGGTCACTTTGTGAATCAAAGCCCCGTCTTTCCTTAGCCCAGAGGGTAGATCAGGAAATCCAGCTCTATAAAAGCTTGCCCTCCATCCCCTGCAGGGATAGCGCCACACTGTGGTGGTGGAACAAGCAAGATACGCTGCCCTTGCTACCTGGACTGGCTGAAAACTACCTCTGTGTGCAGGCTTCCTCCACCCCATCTGAGAGGGTGTTCTCCACGGCTGGAGACACCATAAGCGCTGAAAGATCCCGTGTCCTTCCAGAAAAAGCAGATATGCTCATCTTTCTGCAAAATAACTGTTAATTTTCCCTACTACTGTTTTATAATTAGTATTTTTTGTTATTTAAAATAGGTTATTATCCCATCATTTGTTATTAGACATTGTTTGTTACTAAGTTTGTTCTTGTATTCATTTTTCATTTAAACACGGATGTTACTCCAGTTTCACATTTCCTGTGGACATCTTGATCTTGTTGATTTTGTAAGATTGTGCAATAGTTAAGTAAACAAAGTT